TCTAGCCAATGAACGCGAACGAGTCAAAGCGCGCTTTGTTCAAATCCGGACCAATCAAAGATAAGGCAGCACGCAAAATACATCATCCCTCAGTAGATAATGATGCAGGGCCTCAAACTGCTCTGGTTTCAACTCCGATATACTCATATTTTGCAAAGAATCAAGAGATAACTTAACACATTATTTTACGTAGTCACTCGTAGGAGACACCATGCTTTCTTTGTGTAGGGTTATGCACTCGGAACTACTCGGATGTCTCCGCACTCGACAATAACTTTGTTGTTAGTATGGAGCTTGCGGAATCAGCCGAGGATTGCCGATTGACGATCAACCAATCAGCGTTTTCACCAAACTGGTGAAAAATTTTGAAACTTGGATTCGATTGGCTTATATAAACTAGGTCAAACTATTTTCGTCAGAGGTAACTTGACACGATGAAGATAGGCTATAGTGAAGAGGTTAGTGTCAAGTTATCTCTGAAGCTCAGGGTGACATTACCGGAACATACGTTACAATTCAGGCTCTTTACATGATGTATAGACATAGTAAAAATACAATGTGGATGTAAAATTGAGACAGCCGTGGATTACTTGTTCTATACACTTGTATGTTTAAAAAATTGAATACATAACAACTTCAAATTCATTCAATTTTATTTTTTGATACTTCGAGCATGTGAAATGCACCTCTATATTGGGTTTATTTGTTTTATTCGTCCAAGACTGCGTTCCCATAAACCCGTCGTACTAGCAGGATCGGACTACTCGCTAAATTGCTTTCAGGGAAATCAGCGTGATGGTCTGGCACGCCCATTTGAGTAACTAGGGGGTAATTGACTATCGTTAATTACCCCATAGCAACTTGAGTAGGCGTGCCAGCTATTTAGGCCGCTTACACTGAATGCAATTCAGGGACAATCTCCACAGAGTTAGATCGATCCAGTAAGTACGATGGGTGTATGTGAAGGCTCTCCAAGATTCCAGGTAACATAGATAGATCGCTCAACTGAGGTTGCGTGATCTAAGTGATACAGTTATATTTTGAGAGATTCCACCATGAAATTACACTCCGGGGACTTGGCTCCTTTTCACAAGTTCGCTTCTTGATCTGAAAGCAAGAGTTCATTTATTGGCCTGTAACTGCCAGTGACTGGAGCATATTTGTTCACAGGGCTTGCCATTCTGTTTAGATTTGTTACACAGGCTCTTCAACTCTAACCACCTACTGTATATATATATATATATATATATATATATATATATATATATNTAGTAGGGATGACAACAAATAATTCTCTTCACATTATCGTCACTTTTACAAAATGTTCCTTTAGTCGTTAATGCACTTCACGTGTCTTTAGTGTTAATTTGCATTGTATAGCATATTCAAGCTCGGCAAACCCACCATGACTGATTATCATCCTTTCATGGAGAAGGTATTTCGCATTTGAGAGCTTTAATTCACATTAATTATACGCTTTTATGCTCATCGACTCCCTACCCCCAAACTTCCCTTAATGGTTTCACATAAGGCAGACAGAAGGGACTTTAAGCCAGGGCCCGCAGTAAACGAGGTCCTACTGAGCCCTTACTCAAAATGAGAGAGTTTGCATTGTAGTACCGTTCAAACTTGGACGAATAAACACCCAAACCCAATATAGAGGTGCAAATGAGGTCACATGCTCTTAAAATATGTAGGCCTAGTGCACAGATTGCAAACTATGCTTGATTATTTTAGGGTCCCAAATGAAGAAGTTTGTATCAAAGTTTTACTCTCCTGAACCTCAATATATATATATATATATATATATAAGATTTTGTCACACTTTCGTTTATTCCTCAATTATTCCTCATTGCTTGTTTATTCCTCATTTCTAGGGGGAGCAATATCGAAGAATTTGTGACAATAAGTACAGTGCAGTGCACTTACAAATAATTATATCAGGATTTTTTGAAGAATGTCATCATTAATAAGGGTGAACATGTATCATATTACTATTTTACAACATGTTTTTAATACATTAATTATAAATATTAAAACATGTTCATGACATATCTGTTGTTATTAGTAAGGGTACTGAAATAGCCCACGCCATTTAAGAGCGCGTGCGTAATGTCAGTTTATTTTTTATCAAATTTGTGCACCACAGCAATCCCGCCACCTTGTACTTTTTCAATAGTGTAATACCAGTTATCATATCCCTCCTGACGAAGCGGCTCTTTCAAATCATCCTCCAAGAGCTTTGGTGGATGGGCACTACCGGCATCTTCACCATACTTGTGCATCGCCCGTCTATAAATTTGTTCGACCAGCCCCAAAACTTCTATCGGGACTTTGGCGTCGAACGCTAGTTTCCTTCCAAGATCAAGATCTTTGCAGTGCAGTGCTATTTTGAACCCTGGATCAAAAGAGCCGTTAAACATGAGAGGAGCTTCAGTTTCGAAGACGAAGGAATTGCCAGCCGAGGCTCGAATGCCATCAAAGAAAGCCTGCAGGTTGATTCCGTGCCTCTTGGCTATCATAGCTGACTCTCCTGCCACAACCATGTGAACGGCACACAACATGTTGCTGATAACCTTGACGACGCTTGCGCTTCCCATAGGGCCCATGTACAACAGTGACCCTGTGTATGATTTAATAAATGATTCGTACATTTTCATATCTTCGGAGTCTCCACCCACGAAAACAGTCATAAGTCCAGTTTTCAAAAGCTCTAGGCCTCCTGACAACGGAGCTTCAAGCATTTTCAATCCTCTGCCCTGAGCTATGACTGCAAGGCGCTTAGTTTCGTCGGCGTCTGTAGTGGTGTGGTCGATCCAGCATGCGCCTTTTTTGATTTTATAAAGAACGCCCTCTTCCTCCATAATCTGCCTTATGTGAGGTGGAGCTGGCAAAGCTGTAATCACGACCTCTTTCCCAGCCACGACTTCTGATGCGGTGTCTACCCATTTTGCTCCTTTCTCGGTCAATTCCTTGGCGTTCAGGGTACTTGGATCCGTCACAGACACGCTGTGCCCGCCCATAAGGAGGCCAAGAGCTACAGCACGCCCAACTTGCCCGGCTCCTATTACACCAACATTAGCATAACTGACAGCCGATGTGCTAAACGATGAGCATTGGATTCTAACGACGCGTGCGGAAATGCCAAAGCGTATGAGATGCCTCAGCATGACAAGTGTGGATGTGGTGGTTCTCGCTAAATCCAAATTTTATGTATTCTCAGATATACTCGGACCGAACAGCCGACCTGCAGCAATAGAACAGGTTGATAACTACTGCTCTATGCAGATCATAGTACCTGATCTATGCAGTTCTGCTTTGTTGCACAGGCAGGTTAATGCTTGTTCTTAACGAAGAACATGCGACTCTTGCAAACATTACAGCATATGACGGAAAACCAAGTAGACATAGAGCGCATTCATACAAGTTGATCCGTGGACCGAAAGATATGCAGATAAAATATGTATGAGGATCTTCTTACTATATGCCTATGTATGACCCAATGTTGTAAGTAGACATTAAAGAAAATTCATGAAAAAATATCCCACAAGCGATTTAGAGAATGAGAGATTTGAAAAACCATGCCTAAAACATAACCTCTACCAGGGCCGCAGTATTATTGTGGACATTTTTTGCTGAGGTGACATCAGACCAAAATGACTGTGTATTTATCTAGACACATCTGTGAATATCTGTGAAAAATCAATCTGTCGCCCTGAAACACAGCGTGCGTGTAAACGGTCAAATTTGTTAATGAGTGCTCGGCTCGTTGAGCTTATTCGCAGGCGTTTACTCTGTAGTCCTTAACCTGCGATTTCCAAAATACAAATAGGCCAAGAAGCATGCGCACGCATTGTTGTCAAATATAATTGATAATAATGATAACATATTTACCACTTCGTTTCCACATTTGAAGGCTCTGTACTTCACAATGTTTGAAAAGACGTGGGATTTTGTTAAGGCCACATATGTAGACTAGAGCGTTATTAGTGTGGTGTTTGCCCAACGGGCAAATTATGTTGTTTTAACGTTGAAACAACGTTGAACCATAACGTTGAGAAGACATTGAATAAACGTTGGATTGAATAACAAGTTAAGAAAATTCACTAGTTAACTTAAGACACAAAACAACTGTCACTTTTACTTTAAAACCATTTTGTTATTACTTTGATAAATTTAGTTACAGTATTGATAAACAAAGTATCACGTTTTCACTAATAATTAATATTTTAAATTACAATCCATAACTGCAAGGTTGTGTCATTGACCAAAATACAACGTTGAGTCAACGTCACATTATGGCGGTGTTTCGACGTGGCTGGATAGACGTTGGTTTTACGTTGAATTTAGGTAGATCAACGGCAATTAAACGTATCAACCTGTTTTCAACGTTGATCCAACGCAACTATGCCTGCTGGGTGGTTTTGAGGCGTCTCCCTCGTTATATATATTTTAGGGAGGGAAGAGAAGGGGTTACCTTTAAAGCTTAGAAAACTTATCAGCTGCCCCCCCCCCCCCCCCACCTCCTTTTCCCGTCCTCATTTTTCCTTTGGTACATGTCATTGTAACCTGCATTATTTCACATCTTTCATATAACAAATGCCATTGTCATCCAGCACAGTGATGAAAGGTGAACCGATGATACTTGATTGCTTTAGTTGCGACGGTGTATAGGGCCTGCACAATTTTATTTTCACAACTAGTGCATTACTACATTAGCTACTGCCTTTATGTATTTTAGCAACTTGCGTGGACGTTATGCAACAATGAAGCATGTATTTCTCGATATATACTTAAGTCGTGTATGAAGTATCGTGCTTTATTTTTAAAGATCATATATTATTAAACCTTACCGTCTGCAGCAGACGGAAAGTATACACCACTGTTCTTGTTGTCTTGTTCTTGTTCCTGTCTTGTTGTTAGAATATAAAAAGAATGCATGATGATACCAAACGCTTATAATAAAGTATGCGAAATTCTTTCATTTTATCACAACAACTAATGAAGCAATGGTTGTAGAAGGTCCTGCCCTGGGTTTCTAGCTGGTGAAAGACAAACAGCGAACAAATAAAACAAGTCCACACAGATGCCACGTAAATACAGCAGGTTGGTGTATACACATAAGCATGTTGCGTTTGTTTACAAAGCTGCATCATAAATATTGAAAAACAACAATAGATGTATCGAGCATATGATTTATCCAACCTACTGCATAGATTTCAAACAAAAGTGAAAACGTATTTATGCTTTATAGTGACTGTTCCTTGAGATCAGTTAAGTGGCGGCAAGGGAGAAGAAAAGAAAAATAGAAAAACACTTCTCAAAGATGGAGCAGAATATTGGTTAAAATAAACTTCACTAAACTGTGATATCATAGCTTTGTCAAAATTCTATTTTAGTGGGATTGTTAGTTTTTATACTTGTACGTCCACCTGTGTATTACTTTTTTCCTTTCTTCTCCCTCTTGAGATTGTAGGTGGCATTCAAAAGCATTCTTCTCGAGTTACCTTCCCAACGAGTGGGTTCACTCTTGGTGAGCGTGGCCGGTACTAACTAACTATACACCTGTAAGTGCGTCATTACGGCCAGTCTGGACACAGCAAATTTCCTTAAAACCTTTGATGAGATGTAGCCTTTGCTAAACTGCCAAAGCGCTGACTGCTGCAGTAACATGAAATCACGGTGAGCGACAATTTTTCTTGTTATGCAAAGCTAGACTTTAAGGTAGCTTTAGTTACAGGTAGCTGACCTGAACTGTGTTGTTGTCCCTCAATATTTAAGAAAAAACTTTATAAAACGTGAGTCCCTTACAGCTATATTCAAACAGTAATATAAATGTACGTATACACAACAAACAATTGATACATAAATTATGTACGTGTATATAACGAACATGTTACTATTCAGTATTCACATACAATACAGATACACGTAGACTAGTTCTGATATAGGTTAACCGTTCTTATCAATATCAAAGGTGTAAATAGTTTTAACAAAATCTTAACCTATCATAGATGACTGACCTTATATAAAAAGTATCCAAAATGTCAATAATTTTCTAGTGTTATATTTTAAGCATGCCAAAGGATAGATGCAGGAAAAATAATAGAGCCGCAAATAAGACAGTAGCTAAAACTGTATTTTGCAATCCACGTTTACATTCAGCATAACACTAGTCAATAAGTTTGCAAGGCAATTTTGCGACTTGTCATAAGCCAAATACTGTGAAAATTAAAACATATTCTTCTGCTAAATTTCCGGCTAATCATTCAAACGGAACTGAAAGCGATAGTCGACAGGCATACATTCGATAAGAGCGGAAATGGGTTTATGAGAAATGTGTCGTAATTAGAACCCTTATGATAAAATCAATCTGTCTCTGTCACCCGACGTAGGCGAAAAAACCATCAAGACTTTCGCTGCCTGTAGAAATCGTCTTGCAGCAATTTTTCCACAATGTCTTTGGACAATGGTAAACCCAGTTATGATGCAGATGTACTGGAAAACGTGTCAGATCTTAAGCAGGTACTGTAGTTTAAATCGGATTTGTATGTGATTTTGTACCTTTTCCTCACTTGGTCCCTGTTGTGATATTGGATATTAGTCATGAGTTTCACTGCAAAATTTAGGTGCAGTTCAAGATTTTTACAGTTTCAAAAGACACATCATTTGTTGCCTTTTATTTTTCACAACTATTTCAGTGTTTGAAACTAATGGCAAAAGTTTCATAATTCTGTTAAACAAGTTAAACAGTAAGTTACAGAAGATGACCATAGTTAATTTACATGTTGATATTTTGTCACCGATTCATTTAATATGAAAAATGGAAGAAAAGTAAAAACAAATACCACAACATTCATCGTGGTGTATGAAAAGTTGTTTATTTCCAAAGAGTCCACCGAAGTCAGATTTCGATCAAGATAAACTACACAATGTGAAATCCATTAATTAAGAGACTGTGTCAATCAAGTATCACAGGTATCAATTATTCACTTAGTTACGTCACTGACCCTCACAAGATCGTAGCAAGGTCGTTAATTGGAGAGGGAGTGAAAAAGAGTTATCAAATATAAATGTATTATAAACAAAGATGGAAAGAAGCAGCTTAAGAAATGGAAGGAATAGATAAGAGAAAAAGCGGTCAAATGTCCCTATTACTCCTGGACAAATTTTGTTTGACACTCTTAATTCATGCTCTGCTCCTGCAGTAGGGATATTCTGGCTTTTCAGAAATGGGATGCGCGAGATGACGAAGAGAAGGCGTTTTTAAGTGTGAACTAGTTTTCTCTGGGTAATCCTGCTCTCTGCCTGTTGCTAGTGAGCTCACCTTCCTCACTGACCCCTCTTGGAGCGAGTTTGTTCCAGAAGAGAAGAAACAGCCAACAACAGTAAATACAGGCCAAGGGGGTGATTCAACAATCTTCACAAAGTTCATGAACAACCTCTGTTTACTCTCTAAAAAGGGGTGTATCAAAAACCACGCAACTGGTAGTTTGTTTCTTTAATCGGCATTGTGGGCCTATTATTGTCTTTCAACTTTTCCGATGTATTGATTTTGGCTCAGAGAGCATTTTGGTGTTCACGGTACTTGTGACGACTTTATAAAGCCGGAGCAAGAAAGGGGCCTATTCTAAGGTGTAACAATAGCAAACTCAATCAATCAGGTTGGCACAATGATTCTGCACAGCTGACAGAAGCCTTTACAATATATAGTCTACTGAGATTCAAACTGCATCGACTTTTCATTTAGGCTTTTCTTCTGTATTAAGGTGCTCAGCTCTGAAATGTCAATATCGTTTTGGACTTAACAACGTACAGTAGAGGTGACTTCGCTTATAAGCAGGGAAAGGAAGAGAAATCAGATTCAATTTATTATGATATTCTGTGATATCAGGCGGCGAGATATCTTCTAGGTTCCCTGTCAACATGCCAGGTAATGATGTTTTTTTCTGTGTAGATATATTTTAGAGAGAGTTCTAGTTAAGTATAAGACAACTATATATCTACAATCAACAAATAGTCCCATTTTTGTTTAAACAAAACATTTAACTGGAACATTTTCAAGTCAGCTAACTATCAGCAGCTAAAAAACAGTTGCCGATTTTGTCCATTTTTGGTTATTAATAAATGCACACCACACAAATAAGGGGACTTCATCATCATCATTCCTCTGTGGGACATAAGGCCACCGTCACTTCTTAGGGGACTTAGTTCACTAAAAAAAAAAAAAAAAAAAAAAAAAAAAAAAAACAGTATGAGAGGCACCGTGAAGGAGTCACACGTATTTAATTGATATTTTCGAAAAACAAAAATATGAGAAGGCCAGTTCTTGCTAAGTAAGATATGATGGGAACTTTCACACTCCCCGCTGCAGAAGTCTGGCAATGAAATCCCTTAAAGGCGATATCTTAAAGGAGATAGATTTAAAACTCTTTATGTCCGTAACTGCAGTATTCAAATTTACAGTTCATTTACAAGGGATGTATTTGTAAACATATAACTTACATGGTACGATTCTGCACTTAATAAGTAAAAATGTTTTTTGATTCAATTAGTGACTAAATGACCTCTTTTGATCAGTATTTGGCGTTTCCCATCTTTTGTAACATGTTTTACAAAAGTATATAATTCCTCTCCACGCAGTCGGGGATGTTATGGAATTGTGCAACAGTTGGTTTTTGCTCATCCCATTCATCACTTTATATCTCTTGTAATTCGGGATAGAACCATCTGAATACACCTAAAACTATATTTCAATACTGTCACTAGTGTATCACTAAGGTGACCACTGATTATCCTTCATGCTTATTGTTGATTTTAAACCCCGCTTTTAAATATTTCAGATTTACATAGAATGTATAGACGACGTAGACGTCATGCCATTGGCGAAACAACTTTCTCTGTCTCAAGCAGTCGACTTCTATGATAGACGGCGCACAAGACATTATGGATACCCAAGCAACGAGCATTTGGCTGCTAGAAAATCTCTACCACTGCAAAGACAGATTCCCGTTCTCGATGACAACTTGAAAAGACTTTTACATCAAGCTTCATTGGCAAACAGCAGTCGCCCAATCCAGGGAACTATTACAGCTACCTCTGGAAGTCTTCCGCCAGAGGTCGTGCGTGATTATAACAAAGGGGCAACAAACCCGACGGTGCAAGTGAATCTAAGAAAGAAGCCGGAACGACCGAAAGTTAAGAAACTAGCCATCAACAGGCAGGTCGCTTTGAATAATTGGGACCCTCGCCGTGAAATGCGTCGAGTTGAGCAAAGGGTTGTCTTTACAGAAGGTATCAGTTCTGTTAGTAGAAAACCAGAACCCCACTTGCACGTGGATCGAAAATATTTCCTACCAGCAAATATGCCGGAAGACTTGAAATTTGTACGAGAAAATAGCAAAATTGCTATTGATTTATCGAGTTCTGATGACATACCATTTTGCACGGTGGAGGTTGATAAAACAAAAAAAGCAGAAAATCAGCTCAGTTTGCCGCACATTTCTGACAATACTGAATCCAAGAATGGCAGAGGAAAACGGAGGAGATCTAATGGGAAACCTGACATTAAAAATACCACCAGTGCCCCTTCAGAAGGATACTTTATGCAGAATATTGCTCGTCTGTCTCCTACAAGTTTTGTACCGCTCAATTCTCCCTCCACGACATTCTACGCCTCTCGAGAGCCTAGTCATTTACAACCCGCCCACGTAGTACAGATTAATGCACGAACGCTTGATAAGTCGTTAAATCTAAACGCGGTGAAACCTGATAAAAATAACGGTTTCAAGAAAGACAAAGTTTTCAAATCACAACTGGGTGCATCATCAGATGGTGTTGTAGGTCTTCGGTCCATTAAAATAGGCGAAAGTTTGTCGTCGGCTCACCTTAAACAAAGACAAAAGGAACTTCGAGCTTTATATCCGATGTACGATTGGGGCATTCAGCAAAAATCAAGAAATGATATTGCAAGAAAAAAAGATCCCTCTCTTTCTAAGAATAGTTTTAAAGAGGCAAAATCCAACAAACAAAGTCGAAAGAATGCGTCGCTTAATATATATCAGATTGACTCTGACAATTTGGATGCAATTGGCAAAAATCGTGCTGGACGAGATTCTGTCAAATCAATGTCAGATTGGTCGATTGACATGGACTTTCCTATCTGGGAAAGTTCGATTTCTCATAAAAATCATAAACATAAGAAAAATTGGAGCGTGTGGTCTTTTGATGAGAACTATGATTTAGATGCGTATCTGGATGGAACTTGTTACGATTCAGGCGCCCCTTTTCACGGTGTGCAGCCAGATGCAGACAACCTGTTGATGCCGACGACCATACCTTGTAAACCTAAACCAAAATGTGTTGGTGGATCAGTAGGGGTCCCAAATGTCCACGAGGAAAATGAAATAAGAAAGGAGAAGACTAAAGGCGAAAGAACAGAGACTAACACTGGTGGTCCGCCTCGACAAGAGAGTCATGCTTCCCTCCATCCCCCACCTAACACAGCCGATGATCCGACCGGCAATCATACCTCCACCGAAATGGAACACATTCTGCCACGTATTGCGGAAAGTGCCAGTAGTGATAAAGTAAACGTCCAAGTTTCTGTTAAAACACTGAGTTTAGACCCTGCTCAACTTGAGAAGCATCCCGAGGTTCATAACGGTACTCCCACGATTTGCGTCACCCCACCGACCACGCTGCAACAAAGCAAAATGGACGCCGCGCCCTGTCCCACCGACAAAAGTCATTCTGCAGGAGACTCGCCGGTGGCAGATAAGAGTGCAAACTCGAACTCTTATCTACAGCAGAATAAAGGCCCAAAAGGGCAAAAACTTGTTAAAACAGGTAGTAAAAGGGATATTGTTTTTATTTCTCCTGCAATTCAAAGTCCGTATGAATACCAAGTATACTAAAATTGCGACAGCTTTATACATTTTATAGGCCTATATTATACATTTCAATATTTTGTGTGTACATTATATAAATCTCAATTACCAATCATACCACACAAACGATACAGGTACACACACACTCAAAGTCCAAGTCAGTATAAATTTTACTGCAATTTAAACGTTATCTACAAAGGTGCAACTTTATTGTACGTATGCATATGGCTTTTTAGTATTTTCAGAATTTTTATATAGCGTCTTTTTATTCTGGCTAGCATTATTTATGAGGATGCTACTTTGTAGTCAATACGATTTAATTAGGCTAGTCAACGCTGTACTCCCTAGTTACCACTTACTTGTCAAGCCGCCAATAAGTGAAACTGAATAAAAATGTCAGGATAAAATAGGTTATTTGTTTGTTTGTTTTATCTAGAGTTTATTTTACGAACAACAGTTCTATAAAACTGTGTAGAAAATTATCCGGAAAGGAGGTCAAATGCCTAGATCTTGAAAATTAGCATCTTCCAGTAGTACACAAGGCTTGGAATAACTTAACATAACAAAGTTACCACATGAACGCATATTCTACTAATTTTTGACTTTCGTTTCCATCCGTTCTCCAGTGTAATGTGGTCATTAATAATACCTGTAAGAAAAATGATAAACGCACTCATTTGAAAACTGAAGCAGAAATTAAGACCCATGCTCGCATTCCAGCGCATCTCCTACATTTGTTCGGGAATGCACCAGCAGTAAAATAGCAGTCACAACTATCGCATTCAAAAATCGTTTCAACGGGTGTCGTCTCTAGGTCCATCTCTCTCAAGTATGTTTCCCCTGGCCCGGTATTAGAAGGGACTTTCTATGCGGCGTTTGTTTGGTTTGTAGCTTGATGACTGGAACATACTAAATGCTGTTTCATCCAAACTTTCAGTTCTGTCCTTGCTCTGATATTCAGATATTAAGCTTGACAGATTCTGGACGCCGAATCATTTTTAAATCATTAAAAATAAAAAGAACACAATAAGCGTTAGACCTTTATTCAGTAAAAATTCCACTTTCCTATCTTTTAACACTTGCCTTAATAATCTTCACAGTGTATCATTTCTAATTCTGTTCACAGAATGACAATACATAAAACCGTTATTGAGTTATTAGTTTCAAGTTTTTAAGTGAGTCCCGTAATGGAGCTAGAGACTGGTACAGATTGCAATTTTCTCAACAGAATTGTATAATGTTATTGTAATAAAAGGAAACCCCATTCACTTATTACTAAAAAGGATTAACGCTTTGTTATATGCTGTGGTGGCATTCAGACGGAACGTCATGGCCAAGGTCTGTAGCTCATCAACTTAATAACGTTCAGTATGTCTCGAAACAATTTCGCTATTGTCTCCCCACGAGTTTACCCTCTGTATTAAAATAATTATAAATAGATCTACGTGTAGGATTGCTGAAATTACAAGTGTAACTGTAGTAACTCGCGTACAATATGTCATTGACCCAAAGTGATCGGAAACTGTTCGCACCCATGCACTCGACATTTTTGCGTCGCTAATATTTTTTCGCTTAAAAATCGAATAATCATCGGATAACACGGCAAAACTCCTAATGATTTTCAAATTAATTCAATTGGAGTCTGTTTGGTAATTCAACTACACGTATAAACTTTTATCGTAATTAATGTCAAACATGCACATTTTCAGCAGCGTGCTCACCGAGTGATGCTCTGTACTGTAGTTATGCAATGGTGCGAGGTCCAGGTTGTATAAACAGCTTTGTAAATTCAGTTCAACCAGAGAATGTTATATTTATTTTTCCAGCCGTTCGGCATTTCATATCGTTATTCAATCCCTCAACAAGACAGAATGATATATAACTTTAAACTGGCAACATCGGATCCTTTATAGAAGATGTCTGTGTATTTTGTACGAAATGGCCCTGTAAAAAAACAGACAGACGAATGACCACAAGTTCATGAATGTATCCTATATAAAACCTGTACTTCAACGAAAATAATCAAACTTGCCATGATTGTACTAAATTAAACCTTATATAATAATGTAGTTTGATGATACCCTGTATATTATAGTGTAAATCAATAAAGTTCTTATTCCTTAAGGAGGACTATTATACGAATGGAATCTGTTTTATTCTTCGGCGTACACTGTTGGTACGTTCTCTGCACAAGTGGATCTGTTGAGTAATTTCGACAGCTTACCAAAAATTCAGTTTTCGGTGAGTTGTCTTGGAAGAGAAAAGTGTAAAGGGTTGAATATCTGGAGATAATGGATAATGGGTCCTAGTGCAAATCACTGTATTAGATAATTCTTTCTAATTCCTTATGTAAATCAAGGGAGAATAAAGCTTTCCAAATATTTTCTGATTATTGGATCATTTACCGAATGCCAAGACGATTTAAGTCACTGTGAAGCTGCATTTGTTTAACTTGCAGGTTTACTTCAGTGAAATTATCAGGTCGGAATAATTCTTGGCATTTATCCGGGTATTGTTTAATCTTCTGTCAGAACAAAAGATGGCAGAGAGCTTTGTGTTTATATGTATGATATTGCACAAAGCAATGTATGGAGAAGAGAACCTTCAACATCGGGAATAACTCTACTCCTTTCAATAACCCCCCTTGTTTCGAAGTCAGTGATTGGTTCTATCATATCATCGCTATATCGTAGTTTAGGTTTGAAGGCTCTTACCTTGAACGTAAAGGCTGATTAAGTGAAATTTATGTCCTTTTATGAGAGAAGCCAGTGTGTGTGTGTGTGTGTGTGTGTGTGTGAGTGTGTGTCACGGTCGGCGTAGAGATAACAAAACACATGGACCCTATGCTATAATTTTTGTTCTCTTCACCAAAATTTTCGTTCCTAAACCGTATTTTATTTTTCCTATGGCATGGCAAATACTTGAACGTTTGACCCTGTTCCCAGCTGTTTTAAATGAGTTAAACTTGTCGTACTCAATGTCAATCAGTCAAATTAAATGTTATTTTGTTTCCAGCGTTATTCCTCAGACGCGTATTTATCTGGCTGGGTTCATCGTGTCGGAAGGTGACTCACACATCTCCTGATACAACTCGAGAGCAGAGTTTGCGTCCGGCATGGGTGCATTTAACCGCAAACTAACCCTGCGGTGCGCATGCACTGCAGGGACGCTTCATTCAAGACGGTCAGTCTACTGGTCTTTGTCTCAACGTTCACTGTTTAAATACAGTACTGCAAAAAAAAAAAAAAAAAAAAAAAAAAAACTTAAATCAGGTTTTCTGTTATTTTGTTGCGATTATTCCTGCATGCCTTTAAATAAACTAGCAAGGCTGTTGTCAGAAAAAAGCGAAGATAATTTTGGTGGGGCAATAATTATAAGTTACACACGCTATTAAAAGCTCCTGCTACTTTTTCCGTATAGGCTAATGTCAACTTCACACTTTTTAAACGCCTTTTAACGGCCAACACTTCACATTTTTTACAAGCATTACTTTGATATGTAGAATAGATTGTCAAAGACAACCGTTTGGCATTTGCTAGTGGCAGGTTTATCTGGGATCCATCAATCATGCACACCGCTATATTTTCCTAATTACGGAACTCACACTCATGTCCATTCACAGAGGTTAAAATCCGTAATGCATGGATCACAAAATATATATGAAAAATATCATCGAAGGCAAAGGCATTTACAAGCCTCAGATTCAGGTTTCATCAGACATGGACCTTAGGCTGTGTTCATATAGGAAGTTACCGTTCTAGCAGGATTGATCTATCTCAGCGAGGATTCTGGCTAAGGAGCAGACAATGTAAAGAATGGCACGGCCCCTCGTAACTTTAAGTACTTGGGTAAAAGTTGGGAAATTTTGTGGTCCATGTTGTAATATTACTTTGAGCTAGATCGATCCAGCTAGTGCGATGGGTTTACGGTAATGCTCCATTAACGTTAATGGACCACGAGGGCTCAGTAAATAGCATACTGGTAATGTTTATCAGCAACATCGAAATGTTTAGTGAAAATCCAAGTTCAATATAGATTAAATAATCTTTCTATACATGGGCAATTTCACAGCACATCATAAAATTTACATGATGGAAAAATAAAACATGTTACATGATGGTTAGTTGATTAATTTTTTTAAATCAATATTCGTCTTTTTAAATTCAATATCCATCTCACTGCTCATGCACGAACATACTACAGTGTGTAACAGCAGTGCATTTCTTAGACCGTGGGTTACCACAATTTGGCACGCTGCCGGTGCCCCTCATCTTCACTTGGGTACGAGCTACGGCGTTTTCATAGCAGAAGAGATCATCAAAAAAGGCAGAGTCTGCGGACGAAACACAAACCATCCTTTCTGCCAGGTGTCACTATAGACTACGAAACGTGTATCTACAGCTGTTCGCAGCTTGACTACACTGTTGGCACGAAAGGTTATGGATGAACACGATAAGGCAGACTTAGAATCCACCTATTTGAGGGACAGTTAAAAGTTCTTTTGTATTCAGTAGCAGTATATGTCCTGACATCGTTGGATATTCAGATCCTCGTTTCAATGGTGGTACTATAATCATGGGAAGAGCTGGTTGCAGATTATATTCAGTGTATATTTACATATGAAGCCGACCTTGGCTTCTTCACCAAGAAACGCCTGTTGCTTTACGGTGGCGTTATATAAAAATCTCACTTTGCAGCTGTTTGTTAACAATTATAGGATTACATAGTGGCAAGACATGGGGAATAAGCCTGTCCTCGTCAGGCTACACCTTTAATTAACCGTTGTAATTGGTTTTGACGGTTTAGATAGTGAGACAATAGTGTTATCATACTCAGTGGTGGAGTTAAAGTAAATAGTACGTATTTCGGATTTCGAATTCCATAACATAAGGCGATACTAGGAAAATTATCTGTACCGTTTATCCTGTGGAGGGTGCGTTTGCCGCAACCCTTATTTTGAAGGGTATATGGATTCAGACCGAACACGTGCTGGACACAGGACTGCCTTCCCAAGTTGGAACGGATGTAAAAGACGGAACGACACCAAATTCACGGCTGAATTCATGTGTTTGCAATCTGATATCTTCATTCCTTTTACCAAAACATGGTGCAAAATTATTCCATGGATATTATTGACTCTGGGTATTTTTTTAACTGTGACTTATAGATACGCTCAAATACCACCGAGAACGATAGAGGTAGTCGGGAAGTTTCCACCCAAGTTTCTGGAAAGAGGTGCCTTACAAAATGGAACTGTATTTGATAATTCTAGTATATTTGAGCTGGTGAGTCTTTGTTTCATTTGTTTCATTCATGTAATTAAGCGTAATTAAGCGTTTTATATTAACGTAAATGCAGCATTTATGTGGGAATGACAATGACGATATGAATGACCTGCACTAATAATGAAAAGCACTAGTACTGTACATTAGAGCTGTTCCCTGATACAATATTGTATTGCATTTAATGTATATATTTATCAACATTATAATGTATATATTTATATATTGTGTTCCAACAACCTCTAATGTATAGTAGCTTACTGGGGTATATATATATATATATATATATATATATATATATATATATATATATATATATATATATATATATATATATATATATCGAATAGACACAACATGGGGTTGCGCAAGGAGTTCTATCTGAAGCCAAACGTTCACTGAACGTTAACAGTCTGTGAACTCTGAAGAAAGTATCAAGCAATCCAAGTCATAAAAATTTCTCAGTGGTCTAGATATTTTTGATAACGTCGACAGTGCACGGCACTGCTCTGTAATTTACTGTCCACAGCATCGGAACATCAGACGGTTTCCAGACGACCTGTCTGTAACACTCTGTGCCACACGTACTCAACTGAAAGACTTCAAGCAAGAAATAAAACGCCGAAAACATGCATTTTAATGATTTACGACTCTAACGCTAAACATGGTGATGAAATGTGAGCCTATGACACAAGAGCGTGTTGTTTTAGAGTTATTTTTTCCCAGTTAACTGAAGTAGAAAACGGCCTCGAGTTCTTTGTGATTTTCCATGCGAAAGAATATCCAGAGAATTCACGGAGGTTACCGAATGACGATTTCAAGAATGATCTTACGAGGAAAATACACTTGTGGTTCTCTTCGATGCGTTAGCAGCCTCAGGAGAATGGCTCCTGTATAAAATTCTGAAAACTTGGGCCTTTACTCATACGCCGGCACTAATGCAGTACCTATGATAGAACTGTATAAAACAGCTATACTGCACAGTATCAAAACTGAGTGGCGGGCTAAACATCAAGAAGAAATAAAAAGTGCTCAGCATCGGAAACGGCTATATTTAACATTTTGGAAAGCGAATATCCCACATACATGTATCCCACTTACATGAACTATTCAAATGCCACACTTAAACCTCATATACATAAAACACATTATTTTGTGATAAAGATTTGACTATGTCCGAATTAAGTGTCCCTTCACGAGTCAGGATGCAATTAGGTAAGGTGAACTTAAACAAAGGTGCATTGTATTAAGGTCAGAAGGTCCAGAATGTATATATAACNTTCCCTTTATTGTATAATGTTATTGTAATAAAAGGAAACCCCATTCACTTATTACTAAAAAGGATTAACGCTTTGTTATATGCTGTGGTGGCATTCAGACGGAACGTCATGGCCAAGGTCTGTAGCTCATCAACTTAATAACGTTCAGTATGTCTCGAAACAATTTCGCTATTGTCTTCCCACGAGTTTACCCTCTGTATTAAAATAATTATAAATAGATCTACGTGTAGGAGTTGCTGAAATTACAAGTGTAACTGTAGTAACTCGCGTACAATATGTCATTGACCCAAAGTGATCGGAAACTGTTCGCACCCATGCACTCGACATTTTTGCGTCGCTAATATTTTTTCGCTTAAAAATCGAATAATCATCGGATAACACGGCAAAACTCCTAATGATTTTCAAATTAATTCTGTTTGGTAATTCAACTACACGTATAAACTTTTATCGTAATTAATGTCAAACATGCACATTTTCAGCAGCGTGCTCACCGAGTGATGCACTGTACTGTAGTTATGCAATGGTGCGAGGTCCAGGTTGTATAAACAGCTTTGTAAATTCAGTTCAACCAGAGAATGTTATATTTATTTTTCCAGCCGTTCGGCATTTCATATCGTTATTCAATCCCTCAACAAGACAGAATGATATATAACTTTAAACTGGCAACATCGGATCCTTTATAGAAGATGTCTGTGTATTTTGTACGAAATGGCCCTGTAAAAAAACAGACAGACGAATGACCACAAGTTCATGAATGTACTGTATCCTATATAAAACCTGTACTTCAACGAAAATAATCAAACTTGCCATGATTGTACTAAATTAAACCTTATATATTAATGTAGTTTGATGATACCTTGTATATTATAGTGTAAATCAATAAAGTTCTTATTCCTTAAGGAGGACTATTATACGAATGGAATCAGTTTTATTCTTCGGCGTACACCGTTGGTACGTTCTCTGCACAAGGGGATCTGTTGAGTAATTTCGACAGCTTACCAAAAATTCAGTTTTCGGTGAGTTGTCTTGGAAGAGAAAAGTGTAAAGGGTTGAATATCTGGAGGTAATGGATAATGGGTCCTAGTGAAAATCACTGTATTAGATAATTCTTTCTAATTCCTTATGTAAATCAAGGGAGAATAAAGCTTTCCAAATATTTTCTGATTATTGGATCATTTACCAAATGCCAAGACGATTTAAGTCACTGTGAAGCTGCATTTGTTTAACTTGCAGGTTTACTTCAGTGAAATTATCAGGTCGGAATAATTCTTGGCATTTATCCGGGTATTGTTTAATCTTCTGTCAGAACAAAAGATGGCAGAGAGCTTTGTGTTTATATGTATGATATTGCACAAAGCAATGTATGGAGAAGAGAACCTTCAACATCGGGAATAACTCTACTCCTTTCAATAACCCCCCTTGTTTCGAAGTCAGTGATTGGTTCTATCATATCATCGCTATATCGTAGTTTAGGTTTGAAGGCTCTTACCTTGAACGTAAAGGCTGATTAAGTGAAATTTATGTCCTTATGAGAGAAGCCAGTGTATGTGTGTGTGTATGTGTGTGAGTGTGTGTCACGGTCGGCGTAGAGATAGCAAAACACATGGACCCTATGCTATAATTTTTGTTCTCTTCACCAAAATTTTCGTTCCTAAACCGTATTTTATTTTTCCTATGGCATGGCAAATACTTGAACGTTTGACCCTGTTCCCAGCTGTTTTAAATGAGTTAAACTTGTCGTACTCAATGTCAATCAGTCAAATTAAATGTTATTTTGTTTCCAGCGTAATTCCTCAGACGCGTATTTATCTGGCTGGGTTCATCGTGTCGGAAGGTGACTCACACATCTCCTGATATAACTCGAAAGCAGAGTTTGCGTCCGGCATGGGTGCATTTAACCGCAAACCAACCCTGCGGTGCGCATGCACTGCAGGGACGCTTCATTCAAGACGGTCAGTCTACTGGTCTTTGTCTCAACGTTCACTGTATAAAATACAGTACGGAAAAAAAAAAAACTTAAGTCAGGTTTTCTGTTATTTTGTTGCGATTGCATACCTTTAAATAAACTAGTAAGGCTGTTGTCAGAAAAAAGCGAAGATAATTTTGGTGGGACGATAAATTAGACACGCTATTAAAAGCTCCTGCTACTTTTCGTATTGGCCAATGTCAACTTCACACTTTTTAAACGCCTTTTAACGGCCAACACTCCACATTTTTTACAAGCATTACCTTGATATGTAGAATAGATTGTCAAAGACAACCGTTTGGCATTTGCTAGTGGCAGGTTTATCTGGGATCCATCAATCATACACACCGCTATATTTTCCTAATTACGGAACTCACACTCATGTCCATTCACAGAGGTTAAAATCCGTATTGCATGGATCACAAAATATATATGAAAAATATCATCGAAAGCAAAGGCTTTTGCCAGCCTCAGATTCAGGTTACATCAGACATGGACCTTAGGCTGTGTTCATATAGGAAGTTACCGTTCTAGCAGGATTGATCTATCTCAGCGAGGATTCTGGCTAAGGAGCAGACAATGTAAAGAATGGCACGGCCCCTCGTAACTTTAAGTACTTGTGTAAAGTTGGGAAATTTTGTGGTCCATGTTGTAATATTGCTTTGAGCTAGATCGATCCAGTTTACGGTAATGCTCCATTAACGTTAATGGACCACGAGGGCTCAGTAAATAGCATTCTGGTAATGTTTATCAGCAACATTGAAATGTTTAGTGAAAATCCAAGTTCAAAATAGATTAAATAATCTTTCTATACATGGGCAATTTCACAGCACATCATAAAATTTACATGATGGAAAAATAAAACATGTTACATGATGGCTAGTTGATTAATTTTTTAAAATCAATATTCATCTTTTTTAATTCAATATCCATCTCACTGTTCATGCACGAACATACTACAGTGTGTAACAGCAGTGCATTTCTTAGACCGTGGGTTACCACAATTTGGCACGCTGCCGGTGCCCCTCATCTTCACTTGGGTACGAGCTACGGCGTTTTGATAGCAGAAAAGATCATCAAAAAAGGCAGAGTCTGCGGACGAAACACAAACCATCCTTTCTGCCAGGTGTCACTATAGACTAAGAAACGTGTATCTACAGCTGTTCGCAGCTTGACTACACTGTTGGCACGAAAGGTTATGGATGAACACGATAAGGCAGACTTAGAATCCACCTATTTGAGGGACAGTGAAAAGTTCTTTTGTATTCAGTAGCAGTACATGTCCTGACATCGTTTGATATTCAGATCCTCGTTTCAATGGTGGTACTATAATCATGGGAAGAGCTGGTTGCAGATTATATTCAGTGTATATTTACATATGAAGCCGACCTTGGCTTCCTCACCAAGAAACGCCTGTTGCTTTACGGTGGCGTTATATAAAAATCTCACTTTGCAGCTGTTTGTTAACAATTATAGGATTACATAGTGGCAAGACATGGGGAATAAGCCTGTCCTCGTCAGGCTACACATTTAATTAACCGTTGTAATTGGTTTTGACGGTTTAGATAGTGAGACAATAGTGTTATCATACTCAGTGGTGGAGTTTAAGTAAATAGTATTTCGGATTTCGAATTCCAGAACATAAGGCGATACTTGGAAAATTATCTGTACCGTTTATCCTGTGGAGGGTGCGTTTGCCGCAACCCTTATTTTGAAGGGTATATGGATTTAAACCGAACACGTGCTGGACACAGGACTGCCTTCCCAAGTTGGAACGGATGTAAAAGACTGAACGACACCAAATTCACGGCTGAATTCATGTGTTTGCAATCTGATATCTTCATTCCTTTTACCAAAACATGGTGCAAAATTATTCCATGGATATTATTGACTCTGGGTATTTTTTTAACTGTGACTTATAGATACGCTCAAATACCACCGAGAACGATAGAGGTAGTCGGGAAGTTTCCACCCAAGTTTCTGGAAAGAGGTGCCTTACAAAATGGAACTGTATTTGATAATCCTAGTATATTTGAGCTGGTGAGTCTTTGTTTCATTTGTTTCATTCATGTAATTAAGCGTAAGTAAGCGTTTTATATTAACGTAAATGCAGTATTTATGTGGGAATGACAATGACGATATGAATGACCTGCACTAAAAATGAAAAGCACTAGTACTGTACATTAGAGCTGTTCCCTGATACAATATTGTATTGCATTTAATGTATATATTTATCAACATTATAATGTATATATTTATATATTGTGGTCCAACAACCTCTAATGTATAGTAGCTTACTGGGGTATATATATATATATATATCGAACAGACACAACATGGGGTTGCGCAAGGAGTTCTATCTGAAGCCAAACGTTCACTGAACGTTAACAGTCTGTGAACTCTGGAGAAAGTATCAAGCAATCCAAGTCATAAAAATTTCTCAGTGGTCTAGATATTTTTGATAACGTCGACAGTGCACGGCACTGCTCTGTAATTTACTGTCCACAGCATCGGAACATCAGACGGTTTCCAGACGACCTGTCTGTAACACTCTGTGCCACACGTACTCAACTGAAAGACTTCAAGCAAGAAATAAAACGCCGAAAACATGCTTTTTAATGATTTACGACTCTAACGCTAAACATGATGATGAAATGTGAGCCTATGACACAAGAGCGTGTTGTTTTAGAGTTATTTTTTCCCAGTTAACTGAAGTAGAAAACGGCCTCGAGTACTTTGTGATTTTCCATGCGAAAGAATATCCAGAGAATTCACGGAGGTAACCGAATGACGATTTCAAGAATGATCTTACGAGGAAAATACACTTGTGGTTCTCTTCGATGCGTTAGCAGCCTCAGGAGAATGACTCCTGTATAAAATTCTGAAAAGTTGGGCCTTAACTCATACGCCGACACTAATGCAGTACCTATGATAGAACTGTATAAAACAGCTATACTGCACAGTATCAAAACTGAGTGGCGGGCTAAACATCAAGAAGAAATAAAAAGTGCTCAGCATCGGAAACGGCTATATTTAGCATTTTGGAAAGCAAATATCCCACATACATGTATCCCACTTACATGAACTATTCAAATGCCACACTTAAACCTCATATACATAAAACACATTATTTTGTGATAAAGATTTCACTATGTCCGAATTAAGTGTCCCTTCACGAGTCAGGATGCAATTAGGTAAGGTGAACTTAAACAAAGGTGCATTGTATTAAGGTCAGAAGGTCCAGAATATATATATATAAAANTGTATCCCACTTACATGAACTATTCAAATGCCACACTTAAACCTCATATACATAAAACACATTATTTTGTGATAAAGATTTGACTATGTCCGAATTAAGTGTCCCTTCACGAGTCAGGATGCAATTAGGTAAGGTGAACTTAAACAAAGGTGCATTGTATTAAGGTCAGAAGGTCCAGAATGTATATATAACCACATATTGCATGTATGGATTCTAAAGATAATATAGCATCTTTCTAACACTTCTAACGTATTCTGTGCTTGATGTCATCGGCACACAGCATTAAGAGCCTTGGTGTTGAAAAGTTACATGCAGCCCTATTATTTGGATAGTTTAAATCACACCAATATATCATGGTGTGAATTTCTTTCATGATTTTGATTACTGTGAAATGTACGGGAAATACATGTTACTAATAACATGGACTTTTTCCGTATTGGCAAGTATAAGCAGGATATATCTTCTGACCTTCTACATGTACCGTAAACAATTCTAAAATGACCGGAATGTCTTCAAAACAGGGAAATGCTTTTAGTCTCAAAATCGGTTATAAAGAATAGACTATTTCCACTGTTGTAGAAACTACCTTGAAACAATGAGTCCATTGGACAGCAGAAATAGAAATAGCTCTTTCCTACTAGTTAGTTCAGTCAGAAGATTTAAATGTTTTCCCAAGTGTTTTTGCTCGAAACGCCAGCTGTTAAACCACCTGATTTTCATTTTCTCCCAGTACCACCGTGATCGTTATGCAACTGAATCGCATGTTGGGGAGGGTTTTCAGTGTTAAGAAGGAAAAGCTATATCGTGTTCTCGCTTTAACCCTTCACACTCACAGTCACGACAAAGGCACAAATACGTGGGCATACAATAACTCTTCCTATTTATCTATCTAGATGGTCTTACGCGAACGGGAAGAAGTAGAGGTAACAGTTCGTTGTGTAGAAAATAAGTGCGTGTGAACATTAAATGAAATGGAATTTTAAGTACCTTAAACCAGAAGATTAAATATTTATCAAGTTACAATAAAGACCGATAGAAATTACTTGAGAATTCTCGTAAGTTAGTTATTTTTTAACACTAAAATTCGATCGTGGAATTTACGAAGCACAAACCGTGCAAACATGTAATCATCAATTCTCAGAAAAATATTTCCATAATAACAACTTATAAAAAATACATCGGTGAAACTTTTATCGCACAAAATTAACGTTTTGATTTAAAATACACTAGCTGCCCCTGTCACTTAGAACTTGGTATAATCTGTGTTAAACTTGATTTGATTGGACGGTTAGCTTTGTTCATAGTTCATTTTTGCTTAAATATAATTAGTCCACTGTACTTTCAGGAACCTCAAGATTTTATACCAAACTTAAAAAATCCTTGCTGGTGGAAATCAACCGACAAACGGCAGCTCAGATGTCTTCCTTATTTTTACCTGATTGGGATGCCGAAATGCGGAACAACTGATCTCTACCGACGCCTTATCTCTCACCCCAGTGTTATTAGCTCCAAAAAAGAGCCTCACTGGTGGACTCGGTTACGATGTATATATAATGTTTTTGATGTTTTATTCCTCTGTTTTATTTCTAGATGTTTTCATGGCAATATTCTTATTTAGCTACAAATATGGTGAATTTCTGAAACCCCTAAATTCATGACATATCACAGAAAAATATCAAAAGTATCACAGAAAAAGTATAAACCCACTGTAACATTAACTAATGTTTCAGGTTGACATTCTAATATTTGATGAACAGTCTATAATATACCAATGAGGCTCACATTTTCTAACTGACTATCCACTTAATATTTCAGACAAAGATAGACATGGTGTTGGTGTTCCCTTCGAGCGCTACGTAAACACGTTTTCTTTGCCGAGTAACGTCATTAGACAGGCACTGGTTGGCAAACAGAGACTGAACAGATATAACTTGGCGAACCAAATTATAACAGGTAAAATTCTTATGGTATTTTGAACCATTATGTTGTAACAATATGCCTTACCTGACATGTACCGAGTTGTCAGAGAAAATTTTATTTTAATATTAAAATATTGGTTAAAATTTTATTATTCAAAAAATTGTTTCTCGTAATATTCTGCCGAACCTTTCCCCAAATTCCTTTAAAATTGTTTATATATATTTTTTGTGAAAATGACATTATGCTTAAAGAGAAACAGTCGATAGTAGTCTTTATACATCTTCTGAAAGGAAATTCAGTTTACTCCTACGTAAAGAATTAGAATCTGATTTCAGAATTGTGTAGAAGTATTAACCCATTAAAAGGGAATAGACTTTGAATAGACTTAATAATTTCAAGATAAAAGCAAATTAAAAATGGACTGTATCATGTAATTAGTTTGTTACACATTTTCCAGTTGACGCTAGCGCATCTACCATGTGGGATAACGTTGGGTGGGAGCGCAGGCCAGGGAACGACCCTAGCAAGTCAGAGCCAGACATTATAGTAGCGCACCGTATACGCCATATTCAGCCAAATGCTAAATTTATTGCCATATTCAGAGATCCAGTGGAAAGGTAGGGTTACCAAACATCAACAAAACTATAACGACTTTGTTGCGTTTGCAGATTATATGTTATAGACATGTAAATATATGCCTTCTTATTTTAAGGTGTCTTTGTGTGTTTGTGTTTTGTGTGCGTGCTCTCTCTTTTTAAACTACATAGATTTGATAGTTTGATAATGATAATATCTTATTGCAGAGTGATAATTTTCCTTTGCCAGGCTTTATTCAGATTTCCTGTTTTTTGGAAAGGATGGCCTTTCACCAGATTTATTCCATAAGTACGTGGTTCAAGCAATAGGTATCTTCAAAAAATGCACTGAACACCTATCTCTCAGAAGTTGTGCGTACGACTCCAAATTTAATATGGACGACTTGGTAAAGTGTCTTTTACATAGTAATCTCATATTAGCTGTTTAAATTTGCTTGACTTTTTGAAGTGAAATCAGTATTCCAGTTTTACCTTTAGTAACATGTCAAAGTAGTAAAAGATATTGAAATTTATATTTTTACATTATAAATTAATATTTCTTGAAATCGAAAGGCAAAAGTCTCCGCAAATGATATAGATGCAAATGAATTATGTATTTTTAGTAGCTTCATGAGACATTCGTCATACGTCGTATTTTAATTTTTCTTTCATCAAAATGATCGTGTTATTATTCTCGTTTCAGCCTGTGCGCCTGCGGGTAGGTCTTTATCACATCTACGTCAAGGACTGGTTCAGTGTTTTTCCCAAGAAACAAATGCTGTTCCTTCAACTAGACAACTATCATCAAAATTTAAGAGGAAATATAGAAAAAATTTTCAAATTTTTAAACCTACGTGAGTATATGCTCTGTCCATTGCATTGGTTGTGGAATTTTAGCTTGGTATTTGCAAAGCACATTTTTGCCTGTGTCCCAACTGGCACATTAGATCAGTTTTATATCAATTATAACGTTGGGAAGGTAAGCACGTGCTCAGACTTTCCCCATTTGATATATAAGTTTTGATTTTAACGTAAACGTGATATAATGCACGTGCAAAAGTCAGTTTTCTTAATTGTGACATTGTGCACCTCATCATTATTAACAAACTTACGCGTATTTACATATACATGTACAATCGCTGCCTAAGTTTACGAATCTATAGGGGCCTAGTGGTGCAATCTAAGTGTTTTTGGGTTCTTTTTTATCCTCATTATTTTTTCAGTTCCATTACACGAAGATCAAATGAAGATCATTATAAAGCAGGACATACATAATACCAGAAAAGAAAGCACTGTCAAACTTGGCGATATGTGGAATAAAACAAGACAGATGCTTAGACAATTCTATGCTCCGCATAACCGAGAACTTGCTCAGCTTCTTAACAACGACGCATATCTTTCGTGGGATGCTCAGCATCCGTCTATTGTAGAATAGGAGATGGAGGTGATTTTGTAATAGTTTACAGTTTTGGCCTCAGGGTCTTTTTTTACCCAGGCGTCCTCACACCTCGCTCAGAATACTGTTCTCAGTAGGTCATAGGTCTATCCGCCCCACTCAACGCACCAATGTATTGCAACAAAATGTACTTTCATCACAGAGGCCATTGATATGGTGTCCGAAGTTTTGTAAATATAGATGGTGCAACATTGGCTTTATTATGAAAAGGCATCATTTTAAATGACAGAATACAGTCAATCCCTAGATTGTTTGCTGCATTAGGACAACTATTTCTACGCATTTTAAAGTTTTGAACAATATGGCACAAACGGTCACTGGTAGAATCGGTAGGTCCAACTTTTTCGTCGTGCTGCTCGGGTACATGTAGAACGATCACATTCACCCAAGTTGAATATCATGCATCAGCATATTGTTATGGCATATGTTGTCATCGCCACTTGCAGTTTTTTTTTTCTTATGTATTGGGGGATTGCATTTTGTATTATCATAATATGAATTTAAAGAACATTATGTATCAACTTGGGGTGCTTCTTGAGGCAAACTCTCCCTTTGATACTTCCTGGGTTTTTCTCATATTGGGAAATTACTTTTCATATTTACAGTAAATTATGGATAAAAGAATATAATGTATCAATTTGTGGTAAATTTTGTGGCAGATTCTATCATTGATACTTGCAGGGATTTTCTCATATTGGGAAAGTGTTTTTATACTTACAATAAATGGATTTTAAATAACATTTCTAGTTCAATTTGCATCATTATTATAAATAGTGTTTCGCATTTTCTACTTTTTATACATTCGCAAACTGGACGGCATATTCTTTGCGTCTTGCCAAATTCCAAGTCCTGGTCCACTGAAAGACGTAGGATGTCATAAAGAGAGAGAACCCGTCCCTTCTCACCGCAAAATAGGAGGGGGCTGGGTGACTCTAGTGAGAGCCAATGTCACGCCTCAACCTCAAGGGCATGGCTCTTAATATAACAGAACCATGAAATTATGTTACCTCATTACAGATCAGATTTATTTTGACGTAAATTCCTAGCAAATGGTATTCTAGACCCACCCCTAAATTCTTTCTTGTATACTTCTTTTTAAAAGGAAATGCGGTAAATAATTATCATTCATAACTTTTTTCAGTCGTGAAAGTAGATATTTCAACATTAAGCCAGGAGCGAGCCACATTATGGATTACGTCATTTCGACGGACAACAGATTCCAGCGTACTCTTCATTTGATCGCAATCGTGTTGCGGGAAAACAGTTCAACAATGGCGGTTATCGCAGTTGCAAAGTATGAGTATCAAGATAACGACACCACATGGAAGATCAAAAAATATTTTTCTATCTTTCTTTTTATTATCATATCATTATTGACAAATGGTGCTCTTTCAGAGATGGTATTTTACATAATTTGAAAGTCTGCAAAGTTTTTGCATCTAGTCAAAAAGCCCGAAGCCCATGTCATCATCAGATTCCTCAGACTCGGCTTTTTCTTCCTTCTTGGCCTCCTCGGCTGGTGCAGCTGCAAAAAACAATGAGCTGCACTTAAGCTTTTTATAGCCTTATTACTTGCCATTAGTTCAATTTCTGTTCTTTTGTTGTTATTATTACAGAACTAACACTTGTCTATTCAAATCCTAACTAGGCATTTTGATAAGGTGTAATAAGTTGAAGAAATAGAAAAAAGAATGCCTTTAAAAGGCCAGGATGAAGGAAAATAAATTAACTTACCTCCTCCAGCTGGAGCAGCTCCCCCTCCTGCTGATGGGGCAACTGCAGCACCACCTGCTGGCACTGAAGCAAGTTTTTCTTTACCTGAAAAGGTAGGCTACATGTCAGTAATTAGTTTATGTAAGGTTTAAATTCTACAATGCCCTGTTCCATTTCAAATATAAGATAAAAACGTAACCAAATACACATCTACACAAGTGGAACAAACTAGAGAACATGTTGTTCACTACTTACCAGCTGCAATAAGATCCTCAAGTTTCTTTCCTTTCAGTTCATCAATAACTTTCTTGACTTTCTCACTATCTGCTTCAATTCCAACACTCGAAAGAATCTTTTCAATGTCCTTCTGGGAGGGGTTGGTGTTCCCTGCAAGCGCAGCAAGACAGTAGGCAGCCACGTAACGCATTCTGAAAATAGTAAGAAAATCACATCAAATTATAAACAGAATCCCAAAATACACAGCATCTGGGGATCATCACAATGCATGAAACAACACTGAGTGTATAATATCAAAAAATTCAACATAATAATTATTAATAACAGTCAACTATAAAAATGCATTAATATCTAGAGGCCAGATTTCGGTTAATACAAAGCTCAACATAAAGTTTTAGCAGCTGCACAGCAGCAGAGTTGTAGCGATGACTGAACAGTTATGTCATTGTTACACACGACTAACTTCTATGATCTAGACTTAAATCGCATTCACAATGAGTTGAGCCATGGCTTTACAAATCCTGGAACTAAATATGGCAGACGTACATGAAAGAAAAACCGCCTTTAATAGTCTCTCCGCCTCTCACACGCCTCCCCACCGCCTCTCACACACCTCCCCACATGTCATTCCCAGAGCCTATCATACTGACTTTGGATCAATCTATCTCCAAGGGGATTCTCACTAATTGCTTTCAAGTTAAGTTGCTTAGATGTCTTACACGCCCACTGAGGCTGTTAGGGGGTAATTAACTATCATTTAGTGGCTTCAGTAGGTGTGCCAGACATCTAACCTGCTTAAGCTAAAGGCAGCTTAGCGAGAAACCCCTTGGAGATGGATCGATCCTGTTAGATCGATCTAGGCATGGGAACCCAGTCTAAAATGTGGGAGACGGTAAATTTTTCATTTTACAGGGGATTTGGAGGGGGCATGGGGACATTAACAAAAGCAATGTCGTACAAAATTTGAACTTCTTAACATTATGTATATATATATATATATATAGGGGAGAAAAAAGGTGTAGGTGTGTTACTGCAGCCGTCAATCAGTAAACTGTCCCTTAGGGTGCTTTCCCAGAGATTTAGATCGATCTAAAGATTAAAATTTAGATCGACCTAACTCCCTGGGGGTTCACGCTAAATTGCAGTCAGCCGAGCGGGCACCATAGTTAATTACCCCCTTACAGCTTTTAGTAGGCGGGACAGACGCTTAAGCCGGCCAAGCTGACAGTAATCTTGTGAGACTCCCCACAGGGATAGATCGATCTAAAAATCTATGGAAATGGGGTGTTAGTTACAATCAAGCCATCGGCTACCTGAGTGACCATCAAACTGAATCATGCCGGATAAAATATACTCAGTCAAAATATTTTCTATTTAATGTTCGATTACATAAAATCATTTGTAGTTTCCTTGAAGGTTTATCCGACATATGGAACAAGATATCTACCTTTCATTGTCTACAGTAAACTACAAAACTTACTTTAAGTCTCAAAGACACGAAAACGTGTTAAACCTTTATAAGCTATGGCGGAAAAGGAAGTGAAAGAAAAGTTCGGGGTTGCACAAGCGGTCGACATGGAGTTCAGTCATTCACAACTTCTCGTCTCATTTCGCGAGATATGAGAATGTGAGATCAGGAAATATGAAAATTTGCAAAACTAGGCATCCCAGACAACAAATTTCTTATTTGGATAAGGCTGTGTAAACAACCTTATATTTTTCATATGCAAATGATCAGGTAACTTATCATTTGACCAAACAAGTGGTGAAAACTAAATTGAAAGCCCAGTGTTGAAAGCCAGTTTCGGTAGTCTCGATGTCGTTTCGAGCTATGAACAAGGTGAAGGTGATTTAGCATGGCGGATAGGCTCACACAACTGCAAGATGCTGTTAACCAGGTATTTGGGGGTAAATTTGTGCCTAATGATGATGAACGATTGTGTAAACAATATAAGGATAGTTTTTGAAGTGTGTTAATTACATGATTTATATTTCTGTTTAGTCTGACTGTCCGCATGGTCACTTTCTGTTCTTAGCTCTTTTGTGAAACCGGCGGTGTAACTACTGTTAGGTATATCAGAAAAATTTTCAAACTGATCAGAAAATTATAATACTTATATCATCTGAAAGGTAATGCAAAAACCGGATGAAATCACTTGGAATTTTTTTAATATTCCTACAAGCAACAAAGATATTGAAGTTTTTTAACTGCAAAAATGCACCAAAAGTGTCCTCACTTTTCAGCTCAAAACCTGTGACCACTGACCAGCAGTGATCACTCAGGCGCAGCAGAGCACCCTGGGTCTTTGTGTGCTCAGCCTATTGTCTGGCTCACATAGCCTGTGACTAATCAGGGCAGAGCTATTTCCCTGTGGTAATTTTCACATCATGCAATATTGCGATTTAAATTAACTATACTTCGCAACCTTCAAATTTCATGATTTTTCCATATAATATAGCAAATTTCATAAACTTTGCCTGATATAAATTTCAAAAAGATGATACCAGCACTTACCTGAATTTTTTTATCATTTTGTAGAGGCAAAGCTTAAAACAAGCAGAACCGAAACTTGTCAAAGACTGCAACATGGGAAAATCACGTGACCGGATTTTACTCTTTGATTTACAACTTATTTAGTTAATGGCTTGTATTAGTTTTTTTACGCGGCGCTAAAAGAGAGATTTAAAAAAGGGGTTCCATAGGCGAACTGTCAGCAGGCCGACTTCAGTTTTACACTTCACTGCCCGTGGACAGTTACGACTGTGGCGCCCCTAGCGGATTGTGATCTACCTACTACTGTACAGTAGTATGTTACAAAAATTTTCAAAGTCCCCAAAACCTCCTAAAGTCAAGGCAGTCAGATGGAACACAAAAAAAGGTGGATTTTGATATGAAAACCAAGTCTGTAGCCCAAAAATTGGCAAAGATATTGCAAAAATACTCTTCCCAATTTAACGCATTTTTTTCCTCTTGGTTTAACATTAGTATGATTTGTGAAAAACAGTGATCATAAAAATTTAGGTGTCACACAACAACGTCCACTGTTCCTGTAAAATTCAGGATAATTCAATGAAATTTTCAGTGGAAACAACCTGAAGCATCCTGGATAGAATATTGTATCTCAATCTGAAATAGACAGAAAATCAATTAATTTATAAATTAATTAGCAATTAGCCCCAAACTTGTTAATTTGGTAATCAAATAAAAGAAGTGCTTGGATCTTCTCCCAAATACTAAAAGCCAGTAATAAAACACCTAAAATGAAAAGTGGGAGATATAACACAAGCAGATAAATCAGAAATTGGTATGTTTTCAGATTGTTAACGAATATCATTCAAGTAATTAGTGATCAACAAGCAATCACTGGGAAAATGGTGACATCTATATGTATTTTGTTAACGCAATTTTCTACATGTCAGCTGAAAAAAAGGTTTCAGTTAGCAAAAATAGATATTTGCCTCTATCCTCCATAAGCAGTGCCAGATCAGCATCACCTTGGCTCTATTGCTGAAAGAAAAATAAGAAGGAATTTTAAGGGATACCGAGGTTCAAGAGGTTAATTAAAATTAACTGAACCCCAAATTCTGACTGTCAGGTCTTATTCATATGTACAGGTATGACTGAATAATTAATATACTTGTTACTTCTCATTTTTGACACTAGATGGCAGATCATTTTTGCAACAGTGCTGGCATCTTGCAGCAGTATGCACCCCCTGGGCAGTTCACAGGCTTTGAAAAGAGTGGCTCCAAACCTCCTGCAGTCACTCAGGAAGGTAAACAGTTACCGTATTATACATTTTTCAGTTGTTTGGTAATTGTAGTTAGCTGATATAATTATATTAATCAAACATCATGGTTTTTAAGAGAATAAAAGCTAAGATTGTATATAATATTGAAATCATTCAGCATACATGTCAACAGTCATTACATTTCAGAATATGCTGTACTTTTTGCCAAGTTGATAGCTAGAACTGCAAAGGATATTGATGTTCTTATAGACTCCCTGCCAAGCGAAGAGTCCTCAGCTGAGCTACAGGTGAGGAAATGCATCATCTGTTTCAGACTTTCAGTTTTTAAACTTAAAAGATGCGTTTGAAGCGAGTTGGCATGTCAATTTCTGCACGAAATCCAACCAAATGCCATCGTAATGATGTCAAATAGCATAACTTAAAAGTATACCAGAAAGTATTTATATTTCTGACAAAATGACATATGAACTGATACTTTCTGCAGCTTTCTTTCTGTGCTCTGTATACCCCTCAGAAGTTTTCATCAGGTCTCATTTGAATAAGTATGAAATTGCATCCAAAGCTACATCCAGATTCTGTTTTAGAAAGACCATGGTGCATTTTTGCATCAGACAGTGATATGGAAAGAAAAACTATTAAAATTAATTTAACTCTATATCACATACAGTACAAGTAGAATATAGTGACAAATCAAATTGCAAAAATTAAGCTGCAAGTTTTCTTTAGGCTGCCAGTTTGAAGAGACTTGAGGCTGAAAACCAGGATGCAGCAAGGAGACTGGAAGAGGTTATCATGAAGGGAGAAGCATTGTTAGAACAGATACAGCAGGCTTTGTCTGACATTGCCTCATCCCAGTTACAAAGTCAGAGTCTTAAGAGTGGGGACTGAAATGAGAACTCTGGTTCTTGTTGAAAATTGCTCAGATCGAAAATGCCATAGGTGCATCTTCTCAGTTATGGAGGCCCAGCCTAAACAAGGAGAATGCATGTAAATTGTGGGTTTCAAGGAAAAACAAGTCCTCCACCAAAGGTAGCAAGGTCCCAAAGACTGGTTATATATTTGCCATCAAAATATAACAAGCAAAATCTGGCTATTATTTCTTTTCAAAAATAGAAAGTGAGATGCACGTACCTGTGGGCACTAGTACCTTGCATCTATCTTGTGGTTGATAGAAACTGGCAGAAAAAAATGTATAACCAAAGTATGGAGAGAATTATATAAGAGAAAACTAAAATTATGTGAATGGTGTTTATTTAAAAAAAAAAAAAGGAGATGGAAAGCACATAGCATTGCTGCAGTCTGTATGTCCGTACCCGTTTCACAAAATCTTAGTCACTTAAATACAGGTAAAAAAAGATCATGTTATTTGATGTGATCATTGGATGTACATTTTACATTGTAGTGTGCTAGAGAAGAAGTCTGTTGTTTTTGAACTTCTTCCTCCAACCAATGTAACCACCTTGGAGGCCATATTGATATTGAAAGCCTTTGTCTCACTCTTACTTGCTGGAAGTGGAGTTTGTATGTATACTTTTTCAGCAGTAGTGTACCACATGCCACAGACAGAAGAAACCTATTGTTTTGGGGCTTGCTCTGTGTTGCAAGTAGGGAGGGCATCACTCTTCAATGGTCACATTTCTAGTTATATTACTTGAAGAAATGACAGATGACAAATTATAATTTTGTAATCAAATTTTATATAACAGCACCTGAAGTTATCATAAGTGAATGCTCTTGCAAATACTTCTTTTTGGTCAGTCTTTCATATTTGTCAAGAGACTCAATAACTTGCAAATAAAAGTAAATCTTACTTTCCAAGTTTCTTCTTTTTATGTTGATGATGTTTTCAAATTGGTTGTATGACCAAAAATATACAAAGTGAAGACAGGTTATCTTGAGAGTGTCATTTCCTGGTGTGTTTCAATTTGATCATCTGAGCTAAAGAACTCCTTTACGTTTTTAACCATTTATTTTTATAAAATTCCTCTTTTCATGTTAGCACAGGCCGCTGCTCTAACAGACAACGGCTACCAAGTGTGTTGCTTGTCCAAAAAAAAGTGATGCAGAATGGGGGTGAAAAACATTGCTTATTGCAGATAATTGACGGTCAACATTAAGTCCATTCTTGCATGTTTCACATTGTACTGTTTTCATTTCCCCCCGTCTTCAGTGCTTGTGGATTCCCAATTTGCTTGCGTAGTATGTACCATCACCAAGGGTTGCTTGCTGCAAATGAAAAGATTTCCACTACATTACATTCCCTAGATAAAATAAACTAAATAGACTACTTCAAAGGTGACAATGAGGGAAATTATTTCATTACAAGTGAATATTTTGTGAATACATTGATCACCTAAGGGTTGTCAAGCCAACAGGAGGAATTCAAAAAATTATTTAAATAAAAAAGGGGCCTTTTAATGCCAAGAACTTGATTATGCAAAGGTACAAACCTTATTTATTTCTTGATGACGTTGCTTGCTGACTATTTCTTCAACAATTTCACCATCACCTTTTACTAAACTAGAAATAAAAAAGATGTTCTGTTGTGAGCATATATGTGTATTTATCAGACAGCTCAACAAAACATTCATATTTAACAGTATAACTTAAAATTCATTCTTAAATAAAATTGTTCAAAATACACTTCAAAACCATGTCAGGAAAGGTAAATGATTTGAGTAAGTTTTCACATATATTATGGCATTATAACTTGTTCTAATAACCCTCTTTATGTAGAATCTCTAGTACAGTCTATCATAATCAGACACTTCAAAAGAAATCCTGAAAAAATGTTTGTAGTGAAGGTGGAAGTGAGAGAGTAAGAAGGGGAGGAAGAAGGGAGTATGAAGGCCTTTTTAGAAGAAAAGTTTGATTTTTCTTTCAGTAAGGAAAATTAATACTGAAAATCATTATTTTTCATTGCATTACCGATTCCTTCCAGTCTCTGGGTCATAGATTCTTCTCACCATGTTTTGTTTTATTTCCCACTCCTCCTTGGTCATTGGTTTAATATCTGAATAAGAGGTGGTTACTAATATAAAGGGTGTTTAAATAAAATGTTTACTTCACTTAAATAATGACATAACCCTGACACAAGCTTAAACATTAATGTCAGGCTCACACATGCACACAATATTACAGATGGGACTCTAACTTACATTTAAGTTTGGATTCGACAAAGAATGACAGCAGATAAAAAAGTGACTTCAGACTTGTTGTTAAAAAGTTTACTTGTACAATGTTTACCTCTCTTCTCCTCAAGGGGTGTTGGCCCAATTGGTCCAATCATTTCTTTTATGTTTTCCACTACATCTTTGGCTACTATGGGATCTAACACATTAGATGTCTTCTTTTTCTTATATTTTTTCTTCTTTTTGGATTTGTGCTTTTTCCTAAAATTTGACATAAATTTCTAAAAATATGTTACATGTGTACTATACAGTAAAATTTACATATAATTTGATGACCTTTAAAAACGACATGTTAGGTCCACTGCTCCATTATTGTTACCAGGTACAAATATATTGACTAAGAGTGGCTCCAAAATGTCATCTAAAATGCTACACACCTCTTTTTGTTTTTTCTTTTCTTTTTATGCTCACTTGAAGAGGAGTCACTTTCGGATGTGGTTGCTTTGCTCCTTTTTCTTGTCTTTTTCTTCTTTTTAATTTTACTTCTTTCATTAGATGAAGAGCTGAAACTAGACCTATCAGAACAGTTGGGTTGTTTTCTTTTACTCTCTTTTGCATTTATTGTTTTGAGGTTTGTACTTCTATCTAGGGATGAAGAACTGGAACTTAAGCTGCGTGTGCATGACCTCCTCTTTTTCCAATCCTTTTCCTTTAAACTGAAACTAGAACTGTGGGATCTTTTTGAGGGTTTCCTCTGTCTCACTCTGCCTTTATCCCTAGAACTTATGCTTTTTGACAAGTCATTATCACTGGAACTACCGCTTGATGTAGTGCTTGGAGACCTTTCCTTCCTTTTCTTCTTTGCTATCTTCTTATTTTCATGTAAATCAGTAATGCTTAAGTTTACTGAAGATGTCACTGCATGAGAATGTTCTTTTCTATAACCTGACATTGTTGTTTTCAGATGGACTACACATCTATAATAGAGAAAGCATCAATAAATATACATGTGCCAGGTTGCACAAGCAACATGGTTGGTCAAATTTTAGGACAGGCAATATACATGTACTATGGTAAAACATGACTGTAGTAAGAACCTACGGTACACGTATGTATTTTAAAAAAACAAGTATATAATTTACTATATTGAATGTATAGACTACACCTGTGTGATATAACCGGTTGCTGTTATTTATTCACCGAAAGCTGTACTACAAACCAAGAAGGACAGGTACATGTAGTCTACAGTCACAGTGTATCGATGTGCAGGTATGTACGGCAAATATTTTAGTAAACACGATGCGATGCGACAGAATTGTAGATCTAATGTGCAGGCAAATAATGACGCATTTAAACTTTATACTCACAAAATCACATTCAAGACTATTATGGTTATTATTATTGAATACCTTTAAGTCCTATCAAATGTGCAAGTGACAAGCCCAAAAGGACGCTACTGTTTACATGCTGCTTGAGTCTCGTACAGTCTGAGTTAAATCTCGCGACATCTCTTTACCCACGATTCCCTTGAAAGATGGCTGATGTTGCCAAAACAAACTTTCGGTCAGCTTGAACTTACATTGAAATGTTGTAAATTATGGCATCTATGTCCACCGTTCCTGCGTTTGATGCATTTCAAGACCAGCTGAGGACATTGTGCTTAAAGGAGTTTCCCTGTGGTATTGGAACATGGGTAAGAAATTATATTTTTTTATTTAAGATATAATTTACCTGGACGTTTTTTTTAAATTCACTCCCAACTTGAAGTCTGGAGGCATTCGACATTGTTTATCCCCGCCGTAATTATTTTACCTTCGTTCAACTTTTTCACTTCTTTCTTTACAAGTCTAGTTCAAGAAAATTAATCATAAATTAAATTACTCATTTTATTTCATTTCTGATAATGTTATTAGTTAAAATTTGAATTGTCACAAAAATGTTGGTTAATATTAAGTTTAAAGTTATTTTAAATGTTTGGTATGCACATCACCTGAAGTACTAACATTTGTACTTTTCCCTGATATCCTGCCAAGAACAGTGAACAGCACTGGTGGTCATACTGGGACATAATGGAAGTTTATAGATATAAAAATTTGAGTAGAAATAGTACACCTGTACACCTACTGTAATTTTCATTATAAGGGATTTTTTTGTTAATTAAAGGAATTAATTATACAATTATATTATGTTTTGTTTTAATTCTCATTCACAAAGAGGGAAGTTAAACCACTGAAGACAGTAGGGAGTTTGGCAAAGCCAAAAACCTCAAAAAAAGAAATTCAAAAACCAAAGCAGTTGCCAGAAATCGACAAAGTAAACAGCAGATTTTCAATAACACTTAAAGGTAGGTATATGTATTATGATTGAGGGTCAAATATGTGTTTCTCTTATATTCATGTAATACATGTTTTGTTGCTTCACATCGACCTTTTGATATTTATCACAACTTCCTTCTCAAAATAGATGTACTCTGATATATAAGTTTCACATTTTTTATGTACACTAGCATAATATAGATGGGGTTATATATCAGAGAATATTCAATAAATCAAGAAAGTTTATTTATGTGTATTATAATGAATAGGAGAGCTTAATCTTTAAATGTGTCTTCATTGACCTACATGTAGCTTAAACGCATTTTTTCCAAGAGTTTCCCACCAAGTAAAATTTTCCTTGAAAGAAAAGCAATTTTCTTCTACTCACAAATCATTTAGAGATGAGACTGCCATTTAGTGAAAAAGTTGGAAAATATGGCATGGGGTCCAGAGGGCTACCTAGAGGCTAATAATATTCATGGCCCCCAAAATATCTGAAATCTGTCTGAAGAATCTCATTGCTGATCATTGCTTGACTTTCTTGATTTATTGAATTTTTTATACCATTTTTGATAAAATGATTAAGTTCTTAATGGCTGACCATCATTCATACTGCCATGTATTTCTGTACATCTCAAAAGGAAACATCCACACCAGGTACTTTTATTTGAGCATTTTAAAATTATTTTAAAGTATGAATTAGGAAATCTAAGTAACTTATCAGGATACATAGACTTATATAGAAAATATGACATTGGAACATTCAAATGTAGATAGGATAGCTTTAATCATCATGTCTGGATAAAAATGGAATAAGTTATTGTTTATGATGTTCATCTTATTTTATTGAGTATTAAAATTATTCGCTAGATTATGGTGCTCAAAATGAAAAGACAGAAACATTGGAGGAGTATGTGATAACCAAGCACTCTCCATGGAACCTTGATTACAGTTGGAGTGATGAAGCAAAAGATCTCAGAGAATTAGCTGTTAGATCCCCATGGCTTATTGATAACAAGTTTATCTACAATTATTTCAATACATTAAGGATCATTGATAAAGGGGTAGGTAAAGTGCAATCTTTTTTTATTCTCATGGCTATAAAAGTGCAGAGAATGGTATGCTTTTAAATCAGATTTAGATTTTGTTCTCATGTTTGTTATATTTCAATAAATCAGTTCATGCTTTTTGCTTTTGTATATTTACTTTAATTTGATATTATTTTTTGTTTCTCCATTTATCCCTTAGGTGACTGAAATTGATGAAAACCTACTCAATTTTACAAATTTAGAAGAGCTGACTCTGACTGCAAACCTGTTGTGTCAAGTAAACTCCAAGAATCTGCCACGTTCATTAAAAGTACGCTTGCTGCAGCTAATATCTATTGCTGAATTATACTCCTCAATTTGAATAAGCGAATAGACTAATTAATCAGATCAGAAATTAGAATTATGTAGATAGTGGCAAGATACTATAAACTAAATGTATGGTTGTATCATTACCAGAAAATATACTTAGCTGTTTATACAGAGTGTCCCCAAGTAATGAACATCTGAGTTATAAACTTTGAAAGATTCTTATAATGTTACAGTATGTGAACCTTTAAGTTGTGCTCACAGCTGAAATTTGCACATAAGATAGTTCTTCTGAACTTTTGTAACTATTTGGAGTCACTCTGTTCAGGTATAATGTTAATTCCAGGTACATATTTTCCTACATAACTGTCTTTTTCATTATATTTTGAAATATATATATACATACATGTATAATGTTTTCCTGCTATAGGTTTTAGAACTCTGTGCCAACCAGATCTGTGATTTGTTTTCTCTGTGTGTGGATCCTCCTCCACTACATCACCTTGGCCTGGGTTATAATCAGCTTACCTATCTAGATGAATACATGACTGGAGATTACTGGTAATTTTTTAAAAAGTTATTTGTGTGGTTCAAGAAAAGTGGTGTTTTAATTTTATATTTCTTCAATACTTTCTGGTTTGGTGTTTTGTGTCTGCAAACCATACACTGTAGATGTTGTATTATGTGTCTGCAAACATAAATGTTTTAGTGGTGCACTAGAAAGATTTGCCTGATTGAACCAAAGAGTTTCAACGGGAGGACCTTCTGTTGAAACTCCTTGATTGAACTGGCTTCGTAAAATACTTGAAAGTGACAATTAGTTTGGAATGCAGTCAGTGTCGTTCTTATATGTACATGTTTTGTGCTATATTTCAGGCCACAGTTATTATCCTTGGATCTCAGTCATAACACTTTAAGTGACTTGGTGGAAGTTGTCCGGAAGTTATCTACCCTACCAAAACTCAGGAATCTGGTTCTTCATGGAAATCCACTTTGTGTAAGATGATTAAAACCAGAAACAAAATTAATTACAGGTTTGATAGTCACTGAAGAGAGTCACTGAAATGTGTGTCTGTGTGTGTGTGTGCATGCATGCGTGTGAAAGTACACAGGTAAGTGTCTGAACATGCCATGCAGTTGAAATCACATGAGAAGAAAATTTTATTAACTTTTAACTTTTATAAATTTTTATTTTAATATGTGTGATAATGAAATGCAAAGTTGACATACATGGACTATTTAATTTTTAGGTGATCCCAGGTTACAGAGGTTATGTGATTGACAGTTTGAAGAAATTGTTCCTCCTAGATGATATAAGAATCTCAGCAGATGAAAGGCACCACTTTAAGGGTTTGGCAAAGAGAAAAGGTAAGTAATAGGCAAAAGATATAGATAATATAACAAAATGGCAAATAGCAAAAGAAGCATTATTAGAATCAAGCTGCAGTAAAATTGAATCACAGTTTAAATGATAAAATTTGTATTAACAGAACAATAATGTAGTTTTATTTAAACAGTGTTGCGTTTAAAACCTATTTTTCATTTAATTCCAGAATTCATCCTTGACGAAGCCAAGTTTACCTTTGAGGTTAAATATATCAAAGGAGTACCAATGCCAGAGGAAATGAAGGTAAAGGTATTAGGCATACATCTGTCTCTAAAAACCTGAGAGGTTTGTTCTTGTTTAATGAAACATTTTATTGAAAGCTTTACAAAAACAGCCTTACATGCCTTGAGTTTAATTGGCCCCTGTAATGAATGCTTTACATTACTACCTATAAATACATATATTGCATTTTGATTATCTGAAAGTACCCTATACATTTTTGTAACATATTCCACATTCTCTTCAGAACCCAGAGGAACAGCCTGAATTTCCAATCATTGAAAGGAAATACTATGTTCAGTTCATGTTTTTGGAGGATAAAGCAAGTAAAGCTGAAATCTTCCAAATTGCTCATGAAGACTATGACCAGACATCTTCTATGCAGGGCACTGATAGGGTAAAGAACTTATAGAGCCTGGTTTTTAGAAGTGTTTTGATAAGTGGTTATGTTTATCTTGTAGGTTTTATTACTTCTCGTATTATTTCATTCATAGCAATATTGGCATTGAATACCTAACAAAATGATTCAACACCAATCAACATAGTTTATTGTACCCCCAGTACACATAGTCATATGCAATTTAACAATCTACCATGCCTGCACAGTTTCACTCAAAAATAATCTGGTCCACCCAGATTTTGAATTATCCTATGCACATGTCATTTTTAAAATATAACCTTTTATTTATGTGTTCAGGAGGGGTCAGTGTCAGGTGGTTCCATTTTACCTGCTGACACAGGCAGTAAAGTGGAGGGAGTGAAAAATACTGAGCAGGAGGAGAAAAATGTGAACTTTGCATCCACAGAAAACCAGGAGAATTCAGGTAAGCAATTAAAACATGTTTAGTTTCTTTTTCTGTATCCAGCTAAAATAAAGGACACTTTTCATTTTTAAAACATTGTAGTTTCATTCAAGACTAACTGAGATCTATAACCAGAGGGCAAAAACTCTATTTCTTATTTAGAATTATTTGAGTAAAACAGTTTTACAGCAGCTGTTGAACTTTGTTCATGGTTATTGCATAATGTAATGTTTCTCAGTGAATTTTAGAAGTAAAACAATTAAGATTATATTAATATCAAACCTGTTGCATATTGCAGAAATATTTTATCTTCATTTACTTTATATCCTTACTTTCAATTACAAGGCACACCAGCTGAAAATGTCATTCCTGCACTGAAAGTAACCAGCCCATTGCCAGATGACAACCAGTCCCTAAAATCAGGCCCAGGATCCATGAAATCCCATCATTCTAGTCAGGCAGCAATCAACCAGCCTAAGATTCCAGTAGCACCCATTATGTCTGAGAGTGGGAACTGGGCAGAGGAAATTTCCCTTAATTGGTCACAGATGGTGACACGGGATGACCTGGTGACATTGAGAGACTTCTTGAAGGAAGGCATGGAGATTTTTGTCATGGAGGAAAAGGTAAATTTTATCTGAGCTTGGCACTGTTGTTGAAAGTACATATTTGTGATTTTAAAATGTCAGAATTATAAATATAATATGATATTGTATATGAATTAAAATGCATGCAGTAATGCAAGTGATAAAAAAAGAAAAAAAAGGGTTGGGAAATTCGTTTTTGAAGTAAGATTGCATTGGAATAAACCAAATGCAGGATTTTCACCAGGGAAAAGCCAGTATACTTGTACCCAATACACTAACACAGTAGCTGTGTGGTATTTTGTTAATTACACAAAAATGCTCCTCTAAAATATTTCAATTGACTCTAATGTGGAATTATTAAAACTGCTCACTTCTGAGTAGCAATAAACGAAAATACAAAAATTTGGTTGGCAATGCTCAATGATTTTAGTCAGCAGTATTCTAAATTGAGTAAATTTTGGTCCAGAGTTCTGTTGAGATGCTCGAGAGCTCAAGCAAAGTGGTGGATTTGTTCTAGCAATGGGGTCTATGGGGTGTGCACATATGTTAAATATCAGAAGATGATAAAATTATCAAACTGCATTCATTATTGATGAATCATAATTAATTTTTTTCTTTAGATTCTGTCTTACCCTGTAGAGGAAGAAGAAGGGAGCAGGGCAGGCTCTGCTAAAGGAGGGAAAGGAGAGAAAAAGGACAAAAAGAAAGAAGAGAAGAAGGATGAAAAGGGAAAAGATAAAGTAGGCATTCTTGATTTTCTCAGAATTTTATTGATATCAAATTGCACGCATTAAGCTTTTAGAGAATGCAAATGTGAATCACCCTAACTACAGAGGTCCCTTACTATACTCAGAAAGTAAAAATAATGCTCTAACTGCAGGTCATCACCACTGCTAGTAGTGTAGATGTCTTTTGACATGCATCAAAATACGAGATAAAAGATGCTTTGTACAATGTAACTTGGGAGCCAAAATATGTCACAGATAGCAATTGCATGCTTGTTGTTGTTTACTGCACCATAAAACAAATGGCAACTCGATCTCTTCTACACATGTTGTACTTGCATGGTGACAGCCATGCCAGGCCCGTAGCCAGGGGGGGTTCATGTGGTTAGAAAGAACCACCCCTTTTGCTAGCAAAAGGTCCACTCTGGGTAAAATTTGATCCATGTACATGAAGTTGTTATGGAAAAAAGTCCACTTTTTCAGAAAAAGAACCCCCCTTTTGAAATTGCTGGCTATGGTCCTGCATGCCCTGTAAATTAAAGAGTTATAGAACTCTGAAAAATCAGGTGTGATTGACATCAGAATTTTTTACTCTTTCACAGTTTCTTATGAAAATGTTATGTAATACTTATTTTAATATCTGTGTGTCTTGCATTTGATACAACTGTATCTTCTAACATTATCTACTGTATTTTGTATGTTATCTCTTTCCTGTGTGCTTCCATGCTTTCTCTAAAAGAACAAAAAACAAGCTAATTCTTTGAAGGTAAGGTTCTGAAATATTTTAGTATATATATTTGCACTCACATTTGGTATAATCAGTAAGTTTGAGTTAAGAGGGCACATGTGTTATTGATACAGTGGATGTGTAGTGTATAGCTGCTTCTATGTATATGTACTTGTCTTCCAACAGGTTTATACACCAATGTACATAATGGGTTATATATATATGACTGCCTGTAAAACTTTTTCATATAGATTGAACCAATTGTTAAATTGTGTGTTCTTATATCTATCCTGGTTTACTGCACATTTATAAAGAAATGATAATAAACATTTGACACTGCACTGCACACTTGAATATTGAAAAAAGATACTTTTATTGCATCTTTTATTGAACCTAAAATATCTAATAACAGCACACACTCATACTTACTGTGTACACGTACATGTAATTTTACATTTGTTATTAAAAATTTAATTTTTCAAATTTCTAGGGTGCTGCTGGGAAAGGTGACCCAAAGAAAGGGAAAAAGAAAGGTGAGCCAGAGCAAGAATTGCGCCACTTACCACCAGAATACACCACACTGGCACGCTTCATAGTACCATTGGAAGATTTCCTAGAGGGAGAGTTTGTGTTTGAGAATGTCTACATGAAAGAGAGCTCAGATGCAGGGTCAAAGAGCCCATCTAATGCCTCAGAAACAAAGAAGGTTGGTTCTCTGCTTGGTATTTTAATATATATATATATCGTATATCTAATAGTATGTCGCATATCTACTAGTACCCTTTTTTTTGTAATAACAAGAGATTTTGATGATGCACATTAAAAAAAAAAGCATTATTTTGCATGAGTCAAGTAGAGCGGTATGTATATTATCTGAGTAGGTTTAAAGATTTAAATATTTTCTCTTTTAAGGATGGGAAAAAAGATGGAAAAGGCAGAAAAGATTCTGCCAAGAAGAAGGACAAGGATGCTGGAAAAGGTGACAATTGTTGCTATCACAAATGTTTTAAGTTGGTATATCAAGTTTGGGGATACTCATACATGAATATGTAGCACTTTGATCAAAGACATGCAGATATTTTTCCCTTTTACAGTAAACCTTTATTAACTAAACACACTTTAAGACACTATTTGATAATGCACACTATTTGATAATTAACCTTATTTGTATTTTTGTTTTAACACCAGCTACTAACAAGACAAAGAAGAGTCCCAGAGGTATATTCATTATATAATTTCCTAACATCTCCATGGTTGTTTTTATATGTGACAAGATACTATTGTAGTACATGCTCTTTTATGTAGCAATGATTCCCTCTGGCTGTAGTGGATTTTTATTAATCTTTCTTATATTTATGAAAAATTGTTACAAAACTACTTTGAAATGTGTAAATATAAACATGTTTCAAAGTTTGCTGTAAGACTGTAGGTGCAGATTCATAATTAGGAACACCTGTTTTCTCTCCCAGTATCTGGCTGTTTAATCAGTTAATCTTTCAAAGTTCTTGTTTGGTTGCATTGGTAGCTTGATTTATGTTCATCAGTTAATCTTTTTGTGTGTCTCATTATTTGTTTTCAATTTCTGTTCTGCTTTAAAAACTCTCATCATTTTATACATACATACATACATACATACATACATTTTATCTTGCTTTTAAATGATTATCAGTAGAAGATATAGTAATTGTAACCAGGATCCTGGTGACATTTTTGAAAAACAATTTTTTTTCATCAAAGATGTATAAGATATAAGATATGTCCTTGGTTTCATCAAATTATGTTTGATATAGCATGTTTGTGAATTACTACATCCATTCAGCTGTTTGATTTGATCAACTAAACAACTGCATGCTCCATATTTTTAAATAAGTTCTGTTATTAAGATGTACATCATGATGTGATATGTTGATTGCAGTTTCGTTTTTCTAACACAGATGGTGGCAAAAGCCCCAAAGGAAGAGACAAAGAAAAAGATGGAGACAAAAAAGATGCTAAAGGAAAGGCAAAGGGGGACAAAGCAGAGAAAGGAATAGGAGATGATGAGGAGGAAGTTCTTCCACCCCCTCCTTTGGAAGTTCATGTAGCAGTGTGGATGCACCACTGGAAAACAGCCATGGACTCAATAAGAGAAGAGGAAGAACGGAACAAGCGTTTAGAGGAAGAAAAGGCAGCAGCTGCTGCGGCTGCAGCAGCCGCAGAAGAAGCAGAATAAAATGTGGCAAATATGACATAGCTTATCCTGTACATTTTTTCACTACAAACTTGTGCACTTGAAAATAGCTAACACTTCTGTGCTGTAACATAAAATGTAATTCTTGCTGTTAATATTTAAATGGTATGTTAAATTGTTCATAACTCTTGTATATACATTCAGGATAGCAATGGATTCAACTTATATATAAACTGAACTGTAGATGCCTTAACATCTGTACCATGTTAAAATTGGCTCATGTACAAGTATTTGCAGAACATGGACTTTTTGAATAATTAAAACTGTTGCTGAAAGTTGTTTACAGCTAAAATTGTTTACAGATCTTTCGAAACATCATATCAAATTGCCACAGTTCTGCAGACAAAAAATAAATAAATAAATGAAAAGTAAGAAAAAATACATTGTTTGTATGCAAAAATGCTGATAATCCAATATGCCTGACTGTGATAGATACAAAAGTTCTTTATTCTTTAAACAAAGATGATATTGAATTTTTATTAGTACTTGGATGGCTGCTATATTCTACAAGCAGTGTATGTAATATGTTCATGATACAGTGAAATTATGGAAATATCAGGAACAAAATAGACATACATTGTACATACAGATATACTAGTAAATGAAAATACTCCCCACATTAATCATTAGTTTTATTCATTCATATGCATGCCAGTTCATTTACTTATTGACCATTCATTATTTTTAGAAGTACATTTGTTTGAATTGGACACATCAATATCACTCTGACTTGATGGTCTAGTGGACAGAGGACTCATTGAATTAATGTTGAAAAGCAGATGAATAGAATATTTCTGTTAAACATAACATGTATGGGATTTTCCTGCTCTATAAAATTTTTCTCCGATAAAAAAGAAATTTTCCCCTACTCCAATATCATTGATTGACCAATCCCAGAACTTGTATATAATGTTTTATACCATTTTTAATTAAATAATTAAGTTTTAAATGACTGGCTAGTCACTTAGATGACTGTGTCATATATTTCAGAAAGAAAAACACAGGTATCAACACAATGTACCATTTTATTAGTTCTGTCATTGAATTAGGAAAGATAAGTAGCTTTACAGAATATATAACTTTGGGGCATTTTCGGATAGTATACCCCCCCCCTCCCCCTTTTTCTGTTTGAGAAAATTTGCTCCGCACAATCAAATAAGCCTTGTTTAACAAACACAGCATATATCATATGCTCTGGTATTTACTTTTCTCATAAGATGTACCAAACATCAATTTGATCATTATATCTCAAGCATCTAATGTAGACAACAGTTATGCCAATCAATTACAAGAATTGCTTTTTTAAATTTTGAACAGATTTTTTGTTCTTAAGATAATTGCTGTTTATTCAAAGGTCTTCCACTGCGAGTTGATAACCTTCGCCTTTAAATCACCTTCGTACATTGTTTGTGAAGCCAGCATTGAAGACGGTGTCATCTCAGAAATGCCTCTACGCCGGCAGCTTCCATTAATTAGGGCCTACATTCCGGTTGACAATATGGATGAAAGCAAACTAATATTTTATTAATAAAGTTATGAGTTTATATGATATACCTGTGTCTTATCGTACTAGCGCACATGCATTACTTCGTCTGCCTAAGCAAAATCAAATGAAGATCGACCACTGAACACATATACCAAGGTTTTTCAAAATGAATGTGATTTAGTTTGCAGCCTTGAGAAAATAACGTAGATCTAACATTGGTCATTGGAAGCTGAACCTATGCAAGGCGGGACAATACGACGTCACACGGATGCGAGACGTTGTGTGGTATCAAGCTCGTGCCAGAAACGTCAACTTTTGACGCTTGTGGGTCAACGGAATGAACGATGTTGTGCCAGTGTTGGTGCTGTCAGAGTATCTAGAGATAAACAGGTGAGAACAACTTGTACAGTAGCAGTAAACCTATACTAGTTACAGTATCGTCCGTGCTTTAAAAAAATGGCCCCAGTTTTATAGTGGTTGCATCCCGTCGGTCATGTGGAAAATGACTCGTGAAATTTGATGATGTGAATGTCGTAGGTTATTTTGTAGCTTACATTTATTTTAATACCCGATGACAATGTAATGGAAATACTTGTTATGTTGTAATATGTATTAAGTCAAATAGGTTCATTACCCTTAGGTCACAATTGCCTGGTCGGTCCACGCTTGCCAAATGATTGTCACAGGGAACTAACTAGGCCTATCCGTGAAAATTTAATTTATTCGTCGTACTTCAGGCAGACATAGGTAGGCCCTATTTTCATTTCCAATATAGGCCTACTGTGTAAAGCATACAGGCCTACATATATTTTTTCTGTGTATTATGTTTGTCTCTAGGTGATTCTTTTTATATAGATTTTGCTTTGCACTAATCAAATATTCATGAATTTGGGTAATGCGAAAAGAAAAGGCGAAACTATACTGTATTGTTACAACGGTCATGCTTGATTATTATTCATTGTGAGATGAAAACCTTTCTTGTTTTTTTTTTTATCTATCAATTTATTAATTAATTTTCACAAAAGAATAAACAACGGCCATGAAACTACGTACAAAAATATTTCGGTGTGTGTATAATTGAAATAATATATGAAATTATTAGAAGAAATTATTTGATTGCGTTGCCATGTAAAGCATGTAGATTCGGACGTGACAGACCGAACACAGGCGCGAAGAAAACGCTTTGATAGTTACAACATTATATCCTACGCCATACACGGAGAGTTGGTGTCTTTAATTGATTGGCGTTACGTGTGACAATCTCTGTTTAGACAACAGCATCCCACTGGTAAGTTCCCGTTGTATCAATATGAACAAATATTAATTCTAGTATTTGCAGGTTTATGCCAAGTCTTCCGTAGGCAATTTTAAATCTGTGATTTCGACCGTAAAATATTGTTGATTTTATTCCTGCGTCAGATTGATTTACCTGTGCAAACATATTATTCGTGTACACTGCTGTGATATCAATATTTCAAAAGTAATGGTGAAATTTCTGAGAGAAAAATTACTTCGTTGCTATGTGATATATTAAATTCGTCCTCAAGTTATATACCAGCTTAAAGAAATGAAATAGAATTTTCTTCATTGCAAATAAAAATGATGGGAATGAGAAGAAAAAAAAAGAATTAAAAAGGATAAATATTTCAATATTCATATGGCAATGATATGGAACAAAAGAGAGTACCAAGTGCATAAAATACTTAAGGGATAAGGATTCCATATAAAGACATCGGCAGTGTTTGAATAAAACGTATCTAAGTGCAAACTGTGTACCTGATTTTCGATTCTCCTTTATAAACCAGATGAATAATTAATAAGATTTCCCGAATGAAATTTAACCCGCAGCTGGTGGGAATGACAGAAATCGCGTGGGAGGAAGCTCGATTTGATCAGCTTGACACGGTTTCATTATCAGAATAGTAAATTTACATAACGAAAGAACATTTTATTGTTAATCTGTTAATTTGTTAGATGCACCTGCTTTGCTAAGATAATTGTCTTTTGTGTATTCACGCATATGAACACATAGGGCCTACACACAATCACAGCATGTACTAACGCACGCACGCACGCACACACACACATTCCTTTTTCAATCTGGATTCCTTCTTATATCTTTGTAATAAAACAAAAGTATTTGAAAAATAAAAGTAAAAATCAGGTGGGGTGGCTTATTTCACAACAATTTGTGCTATTTAATGTAAGCAGCTTGCTCTATCTTTGCAACATTTCAAGTTACAAGTGCTTTAACTAAATTCTTATCGGGTTATTTGTTGTATCATTATCCAGCCTTCATCATTACTGGCAACAGTTCGATTTGAATAATTAAGCGGTCGCGAAAAGTCGTGTCCACGCATGCACATCTCACCCTGAGCTTCAGAGCTAACTTGACACTAACCTTTTCACTGTAGCCTATCTCCATCGTACTTGACACGATAGAGATAGGCTACAGTGAAAAGGTTAGTGTCAAGTTAGCTCTGAAGCTCAGGGTGGCACATCTCTAAACTATACGAGATTTGCAGTGTTCAGCGGCACCTAGAAACCCGGTGCTCAATGCCAATACGTTACTTGTTCTCATGAATATTGAATATTCATACATCACGCATTGTCCAGGCATAGAAATACGAAATTTAAATGGAAAATGCTNAAGGTTAGTGTCAAGTTAGCTCTGAAGCTCAGGGTGGCACATCTCTAAACTATACGAGATTTGCAGTGTTCAGCGGCACCTAGAAACCCGGTGCTCAATGCCAATACGTTACTTGTTCTCATGAATATTGAATATTCATACATCACGCATTGTCCAGGCATAGAAATACGAAATTTAAACGGAAAATGCGCAGAAATGGTAAATTATGGAAAACAATCTTCCTGTCGCAAATTTTCAAAAATATTACATGTACAATATGACATCTGACGCACAGTTTTTTCACTGTCAATACTGGGAGAAATTTCTTATGCGGAGTCTAAGCAGTTCAACAACCGAATGTACATGTAGAGTGAAACAGCGACGGGTTCTTTAATTAGCGTTGTGTATGCCCACTGTGATGCAGATCGAAATTTCAATCGAACATACACGTGCTCCAGCTATTTACCCAGAGACGAGTCATAAATAATGCAGTATCGATATTTCAGGACCTTTTGTTTTTGAAAAGAGTTGTATTGTTAGAAAATTTGATTTTTCTTATTAGGTCAACATTCGAAGTGCTTTTATGGCTGGCATACTTTGTTCCTGCAATAAAGGGGATGCCAGAAGAAATCGTTAAGCTGTGTGGCTTGAACAGCTGTGTCAAACCCGCCGTGGACTCTTGTTGCATGCGGACGGAGGCTCTTGGGCACCCTCTTACCAGAACGCTGCCTGTCTGCTTACGCTCCAAGGTGCTTTAACGCTTGTCAGCTGGGGAAATGATCTTCTTGCGCATGAAACGCCAAATATTTATTCTCTGAACAAGACGTTACAGCACGGAAACGGTAAGTCATAAGGTCCAAGCTGACAAATTCGTGCATTTATGACACACTGATTTTTTTTTTTTTTCTTTTGTGATACCTTGTCCATATTGAATAAACACATGTGCTAAATTGGAGAGAAAATACTTATTAAGTATTAATTTTCAATGCAATAGGTATTTCTTAACGTAATAACAATGGCAATAAAATAGAATTTAGCCTTAATTCACGGGAGAACGGGTTATTTGTATAACTTCATAGCCGCGGGATGAGGAACTAATATGGCTCTGTAATTAAAAAATAACTAATTATCGATGAGAAACATTTCAAAAAGGTTTTCTCTGATATCAATTGCACAAGCAACCCACTCACGGATTGATTTTTACAGGGGAAGAACACTAATTATTAACGTCCTTTTGTAATTGATATCATGAGATTTCTGTGCTTTCAATTCAGTGCAGCCAAACCCAAAGTCGTTGGGAGATTTTTATTCTTTCTCTTGTGTGTGACTAACATATTTCCAATTTCCACAGGAATATATCAGGAACAAAAAACATGTGGTAGTATCGTCCGTCCATCGTTAACATGGAGTGGCTACGGCAAAAAATTTTTTGCCGCAAGTGATCGCCAAGACATTCCCCTTGTCGGAATGAATGGCAAATACGAAAGATATGCATCAACAGAGGACGACAGCATTTCAGTAAACATTGACGAAAAAACGCGAAAGAAAAAGAAGATGGACAATGTAGGCTACAAACTTGCCAAGCGCAAGACATTTTTCGCCCGCAGGCGGAAAGTTGCGGATGCGACTTTTGCCCTGGCCCTTTTGGGAATCATGATCATGATCGTGGAAACGGAGTTTACGATTAGTGGAACCTACTCTAAAGAGTCAGCGGCGTCTTTCTTCATGAAGACGCTTATCACAATCTCAACTCTGGCGCTCATGGGTTTTTTGGCCTGGTACCACGTCATTGACGTGAGACTGTACATGATAGACAATAACATTGACGACTGGAGGCTGGCGATGTCCAAAGAGAGAGTGCTAAAGATCGTGGTCGAGTTCATCATTTGTGCCATTCATCCACCACCGGGAGACACAAATATCGACTGGATTTCTAAAAATATGAGGACAAACGACCAGACGGTAAATACAATTTCGGTGGACATCATATTTTCTCTCCCGATGTATCTTCGGCTCTATCTCATCGGTCGAATTTTGTTGCTGCACAGCCGGTTGTATTGCGACGCATCCTCGCAATGTTTAGGTGTGCTCAACCGCATCCATTTCAACTTTGGCTTCATCTTCAAATCTCTTATGAACATCTATCCAGAGCGAGTGCTGGCTGTCATCGTCTGCGGAGTCGTATTCATTGCTAGCTGGTCTATTCATTTGTGCGAGTTCTCCAGTGAAAATCCCGAAGAGCACCTGAATTTGTGGGACTCTCTTTGGATGATAACCATCACCTTTCTCACTGTCGGCTATGGTGACACGTATCCCCGATCTCCGTGCGGGCGTGGTATAGCAGTGCTTACCGGCTTGCTTGGAGTCGCAATGACCGCTTTAGTTGTGGCGGTGTTGGCTAACAAACTAGAACTGTCACGGGCTGAAAAGTACGTTCAAAACTTTGTGATCGACGTAGAGCTAGAGAAAAGTCTAAAAAATTCGGCAGCTAATATTCTACGCGAAGGATGGCTAGTTTATAAGCTGAAAAAGCAACATGCTGAAAAATCACGCATCCGTGCGCACCAAAGGAAACTGCTTAAGTCAATAGCCCAGATTCGAGACTTGAAACAAGAAATACGGAAATCCACAGATAATAACATTACTATGGTGGAAATGGGTAAACAGCAACAGCTAATTTATGATGACGTATACCACATGAAAACACGACAAAAAGAACAAGAGGCTGAATCTTTAGAAATGAAGGAAAAGCTTAACAGCATCGACAGTAAAGTTGAAGACATACAACGAATCCTCTCTGAACTTTTGCGAAAACGCACTGAGCGTTCGACTTAAAGTGGTAGAAACTTGTTGGTGTCACCTAAAGGCATTTGATTACTTAAAGACGAAGTTCAGACTGAAGTTAAAGTAGAGCTTAACATTACAGCGCAATAACAATAACAACAACAACAACACACACAAAAAAAAAAAGAAAAAGCAAAGATCACCTTTTACCATTGTTATTTACACCTACAGGCTCAGCTTTGCATGGCGGAGGAATTCATATAATGGCTAATTATTAATTTATTATGTGAAGCCATACATTCCGATTTGCTGATGGAACATGAGACATGTATATCAACTACAACGGTTCTTCGTCACCAAATCCATTTTATCGGTGAAACGTATAGCAAAGCCAGGATATGTTTAATTAACTGTGTTAGAAATCAATGGACATCCGATTGATGCCGTAGTACAATACTAAACATACTGTTTGATTATCAATAATGTACATTTTATGTAGTTAGCTATTTGGCAACAGAGTGGTGTAATATGATTATAGATAAAATTAACAAGTAGTTTGCAAAACTAAACGAAAAAAATAGTATTATGTTTTCAGAATTTAAGTAAGGTTTATGGTGCACTTTGTTAGAAAGGGACATTTCACTTTAAGATATTAGATATAATGTATAGAGCTGAATTTTCAAAACTGAACGCAGTTTATTCTTCCATCACGCCTTTAAATCTTCAGTAAAATTTATTGATTTACATAAGTAAATGATTATTAGTTCCGACTAACGGGCGTCATTGCGTAGACTGAACATGTTCATGATATTATGTTTCCGACAGGAAATAAGTTTCTCCCAACGATATACCATAAAAAGAGCAGGACCTCGTATGTGTTACGAAAGGCTGCCACTGTTAAATCAACTGTGTATGTGGTAATAGTGGCTAAGTCCCGCATTTTAGTTTGGTCCATTGTATGGATGATTATGGAAGAATTAAGTATCATAGCACTGTGTTGATCAGCTATTTAAAATAAAACAACTAAGGAAAACAAACCCAATACTCTGATACAAGACATCGTCTGAAACGTTATAGTAGGATTTTCTTTGAATATATTATTCTGCGAGAACGAGGCTTTCCTGGGACTTGTAGTTACTGAATCGGGATCGGAGAGCTGTTGGTCTGTTTAAAGTTTAATGTTGCATGTGGCATATCCTCGTTTTATGCTAGTACTAAATATTTTACAAAGCAAATGTACAAAGTGCATCCATACCTTGGAAATTCATTTACATTAAATGAACATAAACATGCATGTAGACATGACAAAGCAAATATGATTAATTATGAAACGTGCGGATTGAGCATTTGATATTTCATTATTTCAAACTGCAATTTCATTTCAAATACAAAATAAACTGAAATACGACGAGCATGTGTACTTAACCCCCCTCTCCTCCTTTTTCTTTAGAACGTTGGGGTTCTTTCAAAATACTTCTTAATTACATACAGGTTATGCGTGAAGCCAATTAAGACGAATATGTCAACCACGGCACTAACATTGATTCTTTGCATATCCGTCAGCTTTAAGCGGTGTGTGGTGATCATTAAACCGAAAATCACTTCCCTTTGGGACCTTTGTCATATCCTTCAGTGAAAACAAGTTCTGTTTTACTTCCATAGTCGCTGTTGCCATGAGGATTAGCATTCGGTGTCAGTTCAATGTTGATTGTGGTACTAATTTTTAAAAAATCAATGGATCAAAGTGATGGGTATTTCCATGGCGCTTTGGGGATTAATCATCGCTGTTATACATGTACATTATCATGAGCGTATCGCATGCTTCGTAAGATGTTTGAATTAATTGATTATATATATAATGTGGCTTCGCTTTTTGTTCGGCAATGTGGTTTGTTTGTTGTAGTAAGAGTGTCCGTCTTTGCTATTCACATCTGTTTCGCTTTCAGTGCGATGTTTTTGTAGTCGCTAGCCGTATTTAATACATCTGACACCAAAAACACATTAGGTGGATAATTCATCGAAACCCACTTGTGGCCACTTTTGTGTACGGTGGCTTTGCATTGAGAGTAATCAAAACTTTTAGTAAAAGGCTGTGGTGCTGGATTTGTAAAAAAAAATAATGCTAAAAAGATGTTCCACACAGGTTGGTCTCTTTCATTTAAACCTGGTGAACTGAAGAGGCTACAAAATTATCAGAGTTACGGTCTTAACAGTTACTGTCACTGTTTCTTTAATAAGTTGCGGCTATGGTGAACTCTAATTAATTGAATTTGACAACTATGCCTTACACCCAAAACAAATGTAGAGACGCAATTGAAGTCAAAGGCATGTTCTTAAAATTATTTAGTGCACAGATTGCAAACTATGTTTGATTATTTTAGGGTCCCACATGAAGAAGTTTGTATCATAGTTTCACTCTTTGCCTGGAACCATGAGTAATAAAAAATAATTCATCGTGTAACCCCAAAAAGTAACATACGTTACTGTCACAAATGCAAAACGTCCAACTGTGAAACGTTTTACCCACTTTGAAAATTCAATCATCACTGGTTTTGGTCTTTGATTTAACTCCTACAAGTATATCGTTGTAAAAATTATAATAATCTTCTGTATAGAGCAGTATTTGAGCGACTTAAGTTTGCTTGTCACTGAATATTAAAATACAGGGAAAATACACCCTACCGACAGTAAAATAAGTATTTAATAATTTATTGTTCCTTCGTGATCCAATTGTTATATCAGAAATGTCAAACTATCATGGAATCACAATATATTTTTCGGTCAGCAACAGGAAACACTGTTTTCTATTGCACCAAGTACTTGAACAAAATTTAACTTTTTGACAATTTTTCTGGGGAACAAACGTTTCCTAGATTTAGCCATGACGCAAAGCCCCTTGAGTTACAGTTTAAATATTTATAAAAACATCCTTACGTCATGTATACTTTACCACTACTGAATCACTACAAAATATATCGGAACGCGGTATAAAAATTAAATATAAATGACCCGGAACGTACGTTACCATTTAGGGCTCTTTGCGTAATGTAAAGATATGGGAAAAATTAAAATTTGAATTTAAATTAAGACAGTCGTGGATTTTTTCTATAAGCATATATCTTTTTAAAAATTGAATACAACTTTGAATTCATTCAATTTTATTTTTGGACACGCCAGCATGTGAAATGCACCTCTATATTGGGTTTTGGTGCTTATGATTATATGTCACTTTCTGTCACTTCGACTTCATGAAAATAAAATTTGGCCTGTAAATCGATCGAAGTAAATCGTCACTACACATTAGCTTGACATTTTTAAATGGAATAACGTGCCATAGATTTAGCTCATCTCACGCAGTTAACTGGCAGGTGGAGTCTCCAATGGATCAGAAAATGTGTCGTCTCTAGGTTGTCAACACATGATATAATTGGCGTGTAATGCTGCACAAACACTATGGATAGTTCGATGGAAAGTTTCTAAATGCGGGAGATGTTATTGTTGTGGGCGGAACTTCCTTAAGAAAAGATTATGCAACTGTTTCTGATGATGATAGTTTTAATTAACAGTCTTAGAGCCGGAACTACTGAATTCGTTCTTTGTTATTGAAGACGAACAATTAAAATAGCAAGCCCGAAGAAGT